CCTTCAGCTTGGAGGACACTGTGCTCTGACTGTCGTCGACCGCTGAGTGTCGACACCCGTCCTTCTATTATTATTTCATCAAGACACTAAGGGGGTTTCAGTTTTTTTTGTCCTCGAAAACTAGAGTATTCCAATACTCAAAAAAGCTCAGGAAATTGGCGCCCCCAAATGTAAGCTGAGTCTTCAGAAGGGATCGGGTACATAAATACGTCCCACTCGTTGTAGTACTTTGTCATTAAGTAGGATGTGCCCATCCTTGGGCATGTGCCATAACTTTGTATATATATCAAGCAGGGAGCTAGAGGCTCCCGCCACATTCTTTCCTATGTCAATATAGTATATTGTTTTGCTCTTTAGCTCGAACTTAGACTGATATCTCTCGATCATCGTCGCTAAGTTCAACAACTCTGTCATTGGCTATTGCAATGACATCCTTTCTTGTGAATTCTGTCACTTCTGACTGTGAAGGAGAAGTGTCTATCTATTTGGTTTTTTCCCCACGCAAAAACCTTTCCTCGTAAGCAGATTTACTGAAAAATGCATGTGTCACTTATTCTAATTTATTTTTGCAAAATGTAGGCCATGCGACAATCACAACAATTTTGAAGGTCTTGGTCACTTCGATAAGTCATTCATCCACTCGACAATAGCAAAATCGAGAATGTGAGACAATCTGATGATAAAATAATAGAAGGAGGACGGTTGTCCACGCTTGGAGGTCAAGTATCAGTCAGAGAACGTTGAAATAATAATAGAAGGACAGGTGTCGACACTCAGCGGTCGATGACAGTCAGAGCACAGTGTTCTGTTGAAAATATAATGAGAATACGAGTGTCGACACTCAGTGGTCGATGGCGGTCTAAGCACAATGTTCAAGCTATTGAGTAGAAACACTATACTATATTGACCTAGAGAGAGAATCTGGCGGGAGCTTCGAGTTCTCCGCTTGATATATATATATAAAGTGTCGGCACATGTCAGAGGTGGGAGCGTCTTACTTAATGACAAAATACGACAACGAGTGGGACTCAGCAGTCCCCCGAGCTGCCTGATGAGTCGCTGTGTAAGACTAATACATCTAGATTGAAGGTGAGCTCCCCATTTTAAGAGTAGGGGGTTTCAAAAAAAAAATTGCCCTCGAAAACTAGAGTATTCCAATACTCAAAAAAGCTCAGGAAATTGATGCCCCCAAATGCAAGCTGTGTTTTTAGAGGGTTAATTTTCGAAGCCAACCAAGAGTTAGGGTAGTGTTGACTGGAAAATGAAGCAGTTCTGGAATCTGAACCACCTTGTAGCTCCACCATCTTTGACACTCACTGCTTGTACCCTATGTGGTCTCCTCCTACACTGCTCCTCCTCCTCTCGACTCTCCCTCCCAACAGTCCTGCCTGTCTTACACCACCACTCTTTAGCACTGCTTCCCTTGCTCCTTGCAGATGGAAAAGTCCCCATGCTGCTTCATTACCAATAGGGGCCTTTCCCACTTCATCTGGGTGGCAACTTGCACCCCCTTTCATCTCCCCCATCCTCCTGCTTCTGAGTTCATCATCAAGTCAGCCCCCTGCTCCATCAGGGTGGTGACCCCAATGTCCTCAACATCTGTCTCATTGTGAGATCTGTGAGATTGGTGTCTCCTGCAAGATCTGTCATATGAACATGATACTACAGATTCCAGTAGGCTTTGCTGTAAGATCCCACTCATACTGATTTGGATGGAATCTGTCATAGAGCCTTTCTACTACAGATCTCGATGAATTCTGCCTTAAACTCTCGCTTAGCCCGATCCTGCGATTCCTGCGCTCCTCTTCATATGACTTCGGATCTTCCTGCTTCTGCGCATCCGGCCCTATGACAGCTCGCTGCAAGCCCAACAGTTGATGAGTGTAGCTGCTTGCAAGGCAGTGAGCTCAGATTCCTCAGTCTTGGGAGATACATTGATGGGGGCGCTCTCAGCAGCGAGTTTGTAGCACTGGCATAGAAAGTCAGTGACACTCTTGGCTGTTTGTTCCTTTCCATGTGCTCATGCAGTATAAATACTGAGTTGAAGAGGGTGTTCCTGTCTGAAGGTAGTGCATGCTTAAGGGTCCTGTAGCAGTGATCCAATGTCCAGGGATCCTGTAAGTAAGCATTCAGTCCCAATACATGAGCTTCCCATTTGGTCAGGAAGTCATATGCATGACTCCCAACTTGGTCCCAGCATAAAGCATAGGTGGTGGTGAGGAGTTTGTATTCTTTGATGGCAGAGTGTAAGGTACAGTCCCTTCTGTAAGTTTGGGGACAGGGTCCAATAGACAATCATTCAACTTGTGTGGTAGCATACCTTCCATCTGCTTGGACAACTGATGTCCCATAAGTGTCAGGCTGAGCAAAACACACAGTGAGCAAGTCCAAAAGAAGAGCTTTTGATTGCAGTGAGTCTCAGAGCCAACTAATACTTGAGTGGACCTCCATGCTTAGTAAGCACCTGCTCCATGTGATGCTCCATCAACTCGATCACAGGGTTGATATGTTCAAGCATGATCTGGGTGTTCCACACTTCCTCTGCAGCTCTTGCAAGTTCATCCTGGGTCTTTGGTACTGGCAAGCACTTACCAAGCAAGTTTTTGAAAACATACCATATATTCTCAATAGGGTTAAGATCCAGCAAAGCCAGTGGGTGTTCCTGTGTCTGTATGTTGTATTCAGCCTGCTGTTGCTTGCAGATAGTGGCCTGATGACAGCTGCTGCCATCCTTGACAACTGGCAGGCTGTCAGGGTATGCACTAACAGCAGTTACAGTGTCTCAGAGTGGCCCATCAATGGTCCAATCATGATACCTGGCAGCTGTGAGATTCTCAGTGGGATCCCATTGATTACCTGACCCCAGTCACTTCTTCCTTGGAGCCAATGGGAGCACAACCAATGGGGTTTTAAGGTTGTATGTAATGCTGGCCAATAGCTGGTGTCAGGGGTCTCGCGCCTGAAACCCAGGTCGGTCTGTCGAGATACTTGGTGACTATCAAACTGTGCAACAGCTATTGTCTCAGTATCTGTCTTGACGAGCTAGTCATTCAGTGACTATCAAGTTGCGCAGTGACAGCAGGTGGCGTTCATTGTATATACTATCATAGGTTTCAGCTGACCTCTGTGGACACTCCATTCAGGGGTAGCTCAGCATGATCAATATCAATGCATAGGTTATGATGACACCAAGGTCTGGTGTGAGTGTTGATGATGATGAGGTTGATGGTGTTGGTGATAAGGTTGGTGGCGTCAACATGAGTGTCCAGTGTGTTGACTGATGCTTGAGGTGATCCCCGGACCACAGTGGACTACTGCCTTTGGTTCTATCTATATCCAGACTGCTAACCTGCTATGGGGCGCCTTCGGATGTCAGGTAGTGGTGATACAACACACACACTACAATGAGGAGCAACCTTGATAGATTGCTGCTATGCTGACTGAAAACTAATGAGTACTTATGTTTCTAAAGTATTGACTAGTTGTATGGTGAGTAGAGTGGATGAGGATCCACTCGACCTTTGATGATGAGAAAGCATGGTTATATACCTCTTCACAGCATCACCAGCGATGCTGCTCCTGCTCTCTCTCCAGAGAGTACCTTCTTCATCAAGTACTGTTCAGGAGGACTCTCCTGCTTGCTTGGCACCCCTGTGCCTCTTGAGCTGTGTCGACTCCTTCGACACTGCTCCTCCTCCTTGCTATCCTGCTTGTTTGGCACCCTTGTGCCTCCTGAGTGGTGTTGACTCCTTCGACACTGCTCCTCCTCCTCAGGACCTTGTGTCAACTCCTTTGACTCTTGTCTCTTGAGCCCCTGAGTGGTAACCATCTGCATGCTCCTTGAGCTTGGTCCTCTTCGTGGCTGTGCCTGGCCCTCCTCGCATATGGCTCAATCCTCCTTTGCATGTGAGTCCATAGGAGTCCATGGTCTCCATGGAGACTGCACTACGACCATGCTCTCTAATGGTATCGACTAGATCTTCGATACTTGTGCTCCTTCCATATGAACCAGTGACCCTCCTGCTTCTTGAGCATTCAGGCCCATGACAGCTGGTTGCTAAAACAGCCAGAACAGAACATCAGAACCATGTTGTTGATGTCTTCTCAAGTGATTTTCCAGCAACTAACCCATGTGTGTCCTGGCCAGTAGCCAACCTTGACAGCTGCCTTTTCCATGAACAGCACACACTTCCAATCAGTGGAGCTGTTAGCTTTGGCCCATTCAAGATGTTTATGCCAGTTTTTGGATGTTGGAAATGGCTTTTGAAGCACAATATGGCAGTTAATACCAACCTGGTATGCTGCTTTCTGGAGCTGAATTGTTGGAATGCTGCCAAGCAATGCTGACAGCTCTTGCCATGATAGAAATGGGTCTTTGAGTACCTCACACTGAAGGTATTGGTCCGAGGTAGCTGTCCAGGTGCACAGACAGCCAGATTGTGCTTTTGTTTTGAAGGAACCACACTCCTTAAAGTTCTGGATGGTCTTGTGAACTGCTTGCTGTCTTGGATACACTGCTTAGCTCTGTGATTTGTCAAATTGGCAGCCCAGTATCATGCATTGCAATGATTGAAGCACACTGGCTTGGAGAGAGCTCATTGCCATGGACCATGTTGGTGTTAGAAGTGTTCTTGCTTAGTATGATGGTGGTGCTATTGCTCAATGATGACAACAACCCAAATGAGAGGTATCCAGCTAAATTAGGAAATTACCCAATTGTCCTCAAACTTACACATGGGGACTGTACACTTCTTTACTGTCCAGTCAAATAGATCTATGGCAATTGGTACCAGTCAATTGCCATGTTCAACAAAATACTCAGTGTGCAACTTGTTAGAGAAGCTCCACATGATAATTGAGCTGAGTATAGAATTGGCATCCTTGAAAGTAGTTGTTTTTTGGTCAAGAATGTTCTGTGCAAAAGGGACAACAGACAGCATTGCAAACAATTTGTGTTGCCATGTGTGTACTGAGACTGACCTTGGATCAAGGAGGTCTTGTTAATCCCATCTCATCTTGCCATTCAATCCAGAAAGTACCTTTAGGTGATGATTTGTGAGTGTGCTGAGTTTAGGGGTGGGGCCTGGTGTGGCTTCACAACCAATCAGACAATGGTTGGGGTTGTTCAAGCTAGAGACTGGAGAGTCACCTCTGACCATTGTTGGGATATCACCCCTAGTGGGATAAGGTTGATGTTGGTGGACATCATGGGCGATATCTATTGGTGCTTCAATCTTGATGTTGAGGATGTGAGTTGCATCCCACTCCTTGTTGGCCATGAAGAGGTTCACTCTGTTTCACATTTGTTTGCCAAGCTCGGTACAACTAGCAACAGGCCAAGATTGTACATTGCTTGGTAGAGTATGCTAACACATTTGATCATGATAGACAGAGGTGTGATGATCTGTTCCTTATCATCATTGAGGGCAAACTTCAATAGTTGACTGTCTTTTGGGGCATTGGGCACACCATAAACCTTGTCTGTCGACACTTAGCGATCGACAACAGTCTAAGCACAGTGTTCAAGCTTTTGAGCAAAAACACTATACTAAATTTACCTAAGAGAAAGAATGGGTGCCTCGAGCTCCCTGCTTGATATATATACAAAGTGTCGGCAGATATCCAGGGATGGGTGTATCCTCCTTAATGATGAAGTACGACAACGAGTGGGACACAGTTGTTCCCGATCCCTCACTTGTATCGGCTTTGCCTGATTTCCGATCAGATCTGCTCCACCCGATCACCGATCGGATTGCCTTTGCCCGATTCCTTTGTCATTCTAGCGTCCTGCTGGATCGTTATCTTCAGCAACACCTGTCGTTTGCTAGCCAGACCTCATGCCCAGGTCATGCTTGAGTAAGCATTGTGAATGATGAGCACATATGCAAACTTGGCAGCACCATGTGGACAGCCGTGCCCGATCCCTTACTATTTCGGCTCCGACCGATCTCTTACCACATCGACTTGTGTCACTTTTAGTGTCCTGCTGGATCGTTACCTGCTGAAGGGAACGAACAAATATGATGATGCAAGTTGACATAAGCCGATCTGGTCAGAGGCCCGATCTCACCAGAGATCGGGTACAACCTAGTCCTAGGCTCTCACCATGTTCTTTGAGTTAATTAAGTATATGTGTTTCTGAGCAGTGACATCGAGTTGAAGAGTCACCGGAATAACCAATATGCAGGAAGGCCGAGTGACTGACTGGCTGATTCACTGCATGCATAGCAAATTGTGTGGTGACCAATTAGGAGATGCTCACAAAAGGAAAACACCAAGGCACCACATGGTAAACACAACTCAGAGGAGAAGGATAGATGGTCACATAGACAGGACAAAGGTATATATACATGCAATCCTGTAGCAATAGTTCACAGAAATCTCAAGCATTCGCACCTATGACACACCTGTATGAAAGGAGCTAAGCAGTAGCCCTGACAAAGTGGTTTCAAGCATATACTTCAACTGATTAAGAGTCTGAAGTCATACCTGGACAGCAAATCAACTAACCATGGTTGAAGAGAATGATCCTCAAGCTGGTGTCAGCGAGATTGCCAAGAGATTGAAGAGAGGTGGAAAGAAAGCAATCATCATACAACAAGCCCAAGCCAAGAACATAGCCAACAAAGGTGAAGCCAATGAAGAACTAGGCTCTGACTCCAATGATGATGATGTTGGTGACCAATACAACTTCTGCACTCTGGTGAAGCTCCTTGAACCAGTGCCCAAGTTGACCACCCAGAACTACCATAGCTGGAGTGCACACATCAGGTCCTTCCTCCAATCAGTGCCACATGCCATAGAGCACCTTGAAGGAATGTACAACACAAATCACCCAAGATAGGGCTGTGCCTTTGATGGTGCCCTGACCAACACCACCCAAGGCACCATTGACACCACAGGAGAATACAATGTCAATTACATTCTCCTTGACATCATCAAGGAATACCTAACCTTCAGTCAAGTTTGGAAGAGAATCGAAAATGGCTTGGGTGGTGAAGCCATGAGGAACTCCTGCCAACTCACCCTCATCACTCAGCTGGGTGACATCAAGATGTTCAACTCTGATGCTTGGAAACTCATCCAGGAGATCAGGACCATCCAGGTGGAAAGCAGCATCCTGGGAAGGCCATTTGCAGATGACACCCTATTCTCCACCCTCCAGAAATGCATGATCTGGCACCCCATGTACAAAGACACCATTGCCACAGTCCACCATCTCAACTTTGATGCCCTCACTATTGCACTCAGTATGTGCCAGTTGGCAATTGAAAGCATACCTGCACAGAAGTGGGACCCCCAGCAGGCCAATGCTAGAATTGCCAGTAGCACTGAGAAAGGTGATCCAGCCAAAGAAATGGATGCTGACAATACTAAGACAACATGGAGCAAAAACTGCAAGATCTGCTGCTATGTGTGCAAGCACATCGGACATGGAGCTAAACAGTGTGATGCTTCAGTCAGCATCCCTGAGAACTCCCCCTTCACAGAGACTGATTAGGAGATCTGGTGTTCCCTCACCCCAAATTGGCAAAAACACTCAAGTCATAAGGACATAAACCATTGGGTCCTGACTCAGGAGCTAGTTTTCACATGGTTAACAACTATAGTGCTCTCATCCATCCAAGGGCTTGCAGAAAGCACATATACACCACTGGAAGTGAAGTTTTGGAGGCAACTGCTGTAGGGGATGTCAGCATATCAACCAAGCATGGAGATGTCTTACTCCAGAGCATCCTGTATGTTAGAAATCTCAATGTTAACCTGTTATCAACCAATTCATTGATGGATGAAGGAGCACAGGTGATCCTGGACCACACAGGTGGACTAATACATTTTGCCAACAGAATGTTACTCAAAGTATCAAAGAGCAGTGAATGAGGACTGCTGGAATTCTCAGGAGACACATGGCAGGAGAGTGCAATGATCACATCAATGCAAGTCCTTGAGGGTGTTAACAAGAACACAGAAATAATTAAGGAGCAACCCAGGACTTCAATACAAGAACTCTGGCACAAACATCTAGGACATCCAGGTTGAGACAAGGCCAGAGCAATAGTTAGGAAGTTAGGAGACAAGCTTGCAATAGAAGTAGACCCAGATACAGCCATAACATGTGAGCAGTGTATATGGTCCAAGAGTACAGTAGCAAGAATGGGGAAAGGAAGCAGTGAAAGAGCTTGCACCCCATTAGATCTCATACACATAGATCTGATCATCAATGCATCACATGTGACAGAACACACATGCATGCTGGTGTTGGTCAATGATCATAGCAAATATGTTTATGCACAACCATTGCTATGAAAGGATCAGGTGTTCATGCAACTCAAAAGAGTGATTGCATTCCTTGAGACACAGATGGGGAGAACTCTAAAAGCAATTAGATCCGATCAAGGAACTGAGTGGTGAAGCCATGTAGCCATAGAATGGCTGCAAGATAAAGGAATAGAATGGCAAACAATGGTGGGGTACAATAGCAAACAGAATGGGCAGGTGGAGAGAATGAACAGGAGCCTAAGTGAAAAGATGTGGATGCTACTAATGCAAAGAAGGTTACCAAAGAGCTTCTGGCTGTATGCAATCCAGGCTGCAGCATTCAAGATAAACCTCACACCAAATGCTGACAGCAAGCTCCCATATGAGGCAATGTTCAAGAAATTGCTGGAGTGGCTCATATTACTCCTCTGCATTTTCAGATGTCTTGTGTGGGTCAATGTTCCAAAGGCCAAGCAAGACAATGCCAAACTAGATCAGTGAGCGATTGCTGCCATCTTCATTGGTTATAGTTTGGAGAGGAAAGGGTGGCTCTTCTACAGTCCAGAATACAAGCCAACTGTGTTCTGGAGCAATTCAGTCAAATTTTTAGAGACCAAATGCTGGATGGATCACACTCAGTGGTGTCTGGTAAACATACAACCCCTGCCAACATTAACAAACGAGGAAGACTCAGCAGACTTAGGATACACTGAGGAAAACCTGTTTGATGAGAAAGATCCAGATGCACTGTGCAAATATGATAACATGGAATAAGCACTGGGTCCAGATGAACACCCCAACACTGAAACATGGATAAACAATGGGGTGTATGGACTAATGGTCACAAACATCAAAAGAGAAACAAACCTAGACCCAACTGTCTGGGAAGCACTTGCCAGGGAAGACAGCAGCCTCTGGAAGGAAGCTATGCAAAAAGAGCTCAATGGACTGGAAGCCATGGGGATGTGGGAAGTTACAAATCTCCCACCTGGTGTACATACCATCAACACCCATTGGGTACTCAAAATCAAAATGGATTCAAACCTCATACCAACAAAATTCAAAGTGAGACTGGTGGTGCAGGGCTTCATTCAGAAAGAAGGTGTTGACTACACTGAGATCTTTGCACCAGTAGCACCAATCCAATCCATTAGAGGAGTACTATCATTCACAGCAGTACAGGGCTGGGAGGTTGACTCAATTGACATCAAGCAAGCTTATTTAAACTCAAACTTGCATCATGTTGTCTATCTAAAGCTGCCAATCAGGATGCAAATACCACCAGGAAAGGTCTTCAAACTTGTGATAGGGCTATATGGTCTCAAACAATTGGGATGGGAATGGAATGTTGAACTGGATTCACACCTTCAGAAAATCAGGTTCCACTGCATGCTGAGTGCACCCTGCCTATACATGAGAGGGACAGAAGATAAGCTCACAGTCATCACAGCTTATGTGGATGACATGATCATAGCATCACCAAGCCATGGGGAAGTTGATCGGACTAAGCATGAGATCATGCATAAATGGGGAACCAAAGACAATGGCCAGGTCAAGGAATTTCTTGGCATCAAGATCATTCAAAATCGAGATACAAGAAGCATGACATTAGATTTGACAGCATATGTGAAGGCAATGGTACACAAGTGGCTAAAGCAGATGACAGAGAAATCCTGGATTCCAATGCAAAGCCTGTCTGATGGAGCCAAAGGAGAAAAGTGCTCATCCCAATGAAGCAAGAACTATCAGGAGTTAGTGGGACAGCTTCTGTGGGTGGCAAACACAGTGCAACCAGACATCTCTTTTATGGTTGGTGTATTAGCACAACACATGTTAACACCAGTTGAAGGAGCATGGAACATGGCAATTCATGTTTTGAAGTACTTGAATCAAACAAGCAAATACTGCCTACATTTAGGAGGAAGGTCATATAAGAAGGATGAAGCAATTGTCACATACACTGATGCAAACTGGGCATTGGACCCCACCAACAGAAGGAGGAGCATGTTGGGAGCAATCATGTACCTGTACAGATGTCCAGTGAGTTGGTGATCACATGTGCAAAAGTGTGTGGCACTCTCAGCCATGGAGGCAGAGTTTGTTGCCACATCTGAAGCAACCCAAGAAGCACTTTTCTTCTCATATCTGTTGAGAGACTTGGGTGTTGACAACACCAAGCCAATCCTCTGCATGGACAGCCAAGGTTGCATCCAGGTGAGCAAGGATCCCATCAAACACTGGAAACTGAAACACATTGACATGTGATATCACTTTGTTAGGGATCATGTCCAAAGGAATGATATATGGATTGAGCATGTTGGGACCACCAACAATGTAGCAGACATTCTTACAAAACCATTATGAGAAGTGGAAACCTCTAGGATAGCTCAATCAATGGGATTGGTGATGCTGGCAAAGGGGGGAGTTGAAGAGTCACCAGAATAACCAATTTGCAGGAAGGCCAAGTGACTGACAGGCCAATTCACTGCATGCATAGCAAATTGTGTGGCAACCAATTAGGAGATGCTCACAAAAGGAAAACACCAAGGCACCACATGGTAAACACAACTCAGAGGAGAAGGATAGATGGTCACATAGACAGGACAAAGGTATATATACATGCAATCCTGTAGCAATAGTTCACAGAAATCCCAAGCATTTACACCTATGATACACCTGTACGAAAGGAGCTAAGCAGTAGCCCTGACGAAGTGGTGTGAAGCATATACTTCAACTCATCGTGCTCCGACTCTCACCGATCGTTGATCATCGTTCTCCTCACAATTTATCATTACCTTCAGCAGGACGAGGCTGCAGAAGAACACACATTCGATTGGCTAATTCAATTTATTAATCTTGGTCGTGGTCGAAATTTTATGATTTTTGCAATGTTCTGTCTATGTCGCTTTGGAAAGGTACTGAAAATTGATGACAAGATTGAGTGGGATCTGCCTCAAAGGAGATTTCGTAGATGGCCAACTTGGAATCAAATGCCCTTAAATTGCACGCAGAGGCGTCAATGAGCGAAATGCTGCTTTGTGCGGGGCCAAACGGCTGAGCTTGCACTGGCAGCCGTGAAGAACCTGATAAAAGGAGGACGGTTGTCGACTTTCAGCGATCAATATTAATCAAAGCACAGTACTGCTGCTATTGGGGCAGAAACACTATACTCGATTACCTTGGAAAAGGACATGGTGGCAGCCTGGAGCTCTCAGCTCGACCTATATACATAGTAGCGGCACATGCCAAAGGTGGGAGCATCCTTCTTAATGACGGATAAGTGGTACCCGATTTCTTATTGTATCGGCTTGATCGGCTCCACCTAATCCCCGATCAGATTGGCTTTGCTCGATTTCTTATCAGATCGGCTCTGCCCGATCTCTTACCATATTGGCTTATTTCACTTTCAATGTCTTGCTGGATCGTAACCTTCAGCACGTAGCCGACTGTGTCTATCTTCCAGATATATATATATACAGGGGAGAAGTGACTTTACCTCCCACGACTCGAGAATAGGGGTTTTCACTTGCGTTGAATATTCATTACTTACGTAAGCTCTGCCATTTTGAAAAATACTTCAGTTTTTGAAAACACTGCTTCAGCAGTACCGATGAGGCAGAGTTTTCAAAATTGGACCCGAGTTTTTACTCAAGTGATGCTGCACGTGATCTACTCGCGCGAATGCCTCCACTTTTCCTGTGCAGCTTTCTTCGCGTGAACTCAATAATGACTGTATCTACTTTGATTGTGCGACGAGAGTGTCAAAGAAGGTGGAGCTACAAGGTGGTTCGGATTCCGGAACTGCTTCGTTTTCCGGCCGACACTACCCTCCCTTGGTTGGTTTCGAAAATTCACCCTCTGAAAACCCAGCTTACATTTGGGGGCGCCAATTTCCTGAGCTTTTTTGAGTATTGGAATACTCTAGTTTTTGAGGGCAAAAAAAAACTGAAACCCTTAGTGTGAACGTCTAACAAAATGGAGTGTGGCTTCGAACCGGATCGGGCGATGCCCGATTTCTTACTATATCTGTCCTGCCCGATCTCCTACCATATCGGCTTATGTGAGATCCCTGGGCATCGACACTTTGGAGAGTAGACGACAGCCAAAGAGATGCTATGAGATACCATCCTACCTTTTGTGATGGCATCTTTGCTTTGTGAGCCGAGAGAAGAAGAAGCCGTGAAGAAGAAGACGAGAAAAGGGATCACTCAATCCGCTCGAGTAAGGTGTCGCTCACTCAACAGCACTTTCACAAGCCAGGAAAGAGCCAAAGTGAGAGAGGAAAGGGTCCTCCTCCTTTGGGATTGCCTATTTTTGGGATCTGCGGAGGAGGTTGGGCTGACACTGAACGATACAATCCAACTGCATCCACCTCATCATCCTTTCGAGAGGGAACTTCTCAAAGACTTAGCCTCAGCCACAATTTAGACAGATAGTGTGCTCAGCATTTGTTTCTCCCTCACACGACCATCTCATTTTCAAGAGCACGAACACCCTTTGCCACTAGCCACACCCTACAGGATCACCAACTCGAATAGAAACTCGAACCTGATCTCGATACCCGGCATCTACCACGGGCACGACCCTCTTTCGATCTTAACCCTTCTCGACTCGAGCCTCTCTGCTGCACACCTTAAGCCCGCTTGTCAGCGGTCAGCTTGCCCATCATGCCGTCTGTCTTCAAGAAACTGCGCAAGCCTTTCTCCAAATCATCTTCAGAGGGCAAGTCATCTAAGGTTCGAAGCTCGAGTACTGTCTCTCCTCTTGTTTCCCAACCCAGTAGCAGCTCCAGCGGTTTGACAGATCACAACCCATCCAGATTCGAGTCTACAACGCCCGACAGCTTGCAGGATGTCTCGAGTCGCGCACAGACGTTCCCATCTGCCATCTCCAACACTTCACCAACCGGCAATGATCTCCAGCCACAGCCAAGTATCGACAGCGCATCATCAGCAGGTCTCAGCGGGTCCAGTACCAAGAGACGCAGCGTCTTCCCTCTCGATATTGCCAAGCAGGCTGTAGATCAGATTGTCTCCAGATCCGTCATCACTGTCGAGTCTATCAAGCTAGGCGATCTCACTCCAGACGGTTTCCACATCAGTCTCCACATTCGCATCGGCAAGACTGGCCCAGCAAAAGCAAAGATCTCGTTCCCCGATGGCATTGATCTCTACCTCAAGCCTTCAGATACCCGAAGCATTGCCAACATCAAGCTCTCACCAATCAAGATAAGGAATGCCACTAGGACAACTGGTCTTACCATTGATGGCCGCCTCACCGCATCCGCTTTCAGCACGTCGGCTGGTCACAAAGGCCTCGATGCTCTCTTCCGTACCTTGCTGTCCACCAATGGCGACGTGATCCTCAAAGTCGGCTCTCACACCACCGAGGTCAAAGCCTACGGCATGTCTTTTAAGCGCATTTGGCTTGAAAAGAAGATTCTTCTCCACGGCCTGAATCACCTCGGTGGCGTACTCTCTTTTGGCCCTTCGACATCAGCATCAACCTCACAGTCTTTGCAGCGCAGCTCGATTCAAGGTTTCAAGCTCGTCGGAGGTGATCCAAAGTCAGGCATCTCTTTCCAAGCTCAAGTCGAGCTTGTCAACCCAGCGCAGATCACTGCGCAACTTGGTGACATCCGACTTCGTCTACAGACCGACATTGACGAGCTCAGAACCAAACAAGGCGATCAGAATGCATTCATCGGACAAGTCATCTTGCCCAACCTCACGTTTCAGCCTGGCTCCACGCATCTGGCTACGCGCGGCAATGTCCTAGTCGCGCCAGAAGGTGATTCAGCCCGTACTGCAGGTCTTACGCTCATTCGCTATCTGCTCGAGAATCGCTCCGTCTCGATCAATGTCATTGGCTCCAGCTCCGCTTCCAACGTGCCATGGGTGGCCGCTCTCTTTACTGGCGTTCAGATCTCAGCACTGCTCCCTGCTCTCGGCATCAATTCCAAGTTGCTCGATGGTGCGTCACTCATTCCGCCTGAAGAAGCCAGTCTTTCGCCTCAGCTCCAGCTCTACGCTCGTGCTACACTTCGCAATCAACTGGGCCCACCACTTCATATTCATGCACTGAACGTCGAAGCTTACCAAGAGTCTGAACAAGACGAGCGCGATGCTGGCGCCTCGCCTACCAATCCCGATCCGATCCGCCTCGGCGACATTCGCACGCCATCCGATTGGCCAATGCTGACGCTCTCCCCCGAGAATCCTATCCACGCAAGTCTACCATTCTCTTTATCGGCAGGAGGTTCGTCCTACGTGCGCATACTCAAGAATGAGGCCAAAAGGAAAGGTATTGAGCTCAACGAGAACCTCATCGCAGCGTTGCAGCTCATGCCAGTTGCCGAGGGGCAAGCCAGTCAAGACCCATCACAAGCTGTACCTGCCGTCTCGCGCTCGCAGAAGCTCTCTTCGCACCAGGCTCTTGACTTGCCCAATCTCATTGCTAGTGCACTGTCTTCCCTCAAAGTATCGGCACACATTGTTGCTAATGTTTCCATCGGCGACTATCGTATTCCCGGTGCGATCACCTTTGTGCAGCACCAATTACCCATCGCCATCACAGTCAAGACAGCCCGAAACATCCTTCCAACAATCGGCGCTCCTCTGGTAGATGCACTCATTGACCAGGCCAAGGTCTCCATTACCAAACTCAAGATTCTCGACATGGACGAAAAGGGTCTCAATGTAGAAGCCGACATTGGACTTGTCGACTTTGGTCCCCTAGACGTTGAGATTCACCTCGACCAGGGGCTCAGCATTACGTCCACATCTGTCCATGCCACCCAAGACAGCCCACCGGTCATCGGTCGGATCGTCTTTGGAGAGCCTCTACGCGGTATTACAGGCAGCGAAGGACTCATCAAAACGCGTCTCCGCATCTTGCCTGCTTCAGGCCCGAAGAGTGTTGCCAACTTTGCCACCTTTGTGTCAGAACTGATCCACCAAGAGGAGCTCAAGGTCGACATTTCGACCGACGCCTGCCGTGTCGTTGCAGGTGGAGCTGACTTCCCAGCGGTGCTGTTCAAGTCGGTCGTCTTGCCCGGTCTCGGCGGTCTCAAGGGTCTAGCTCTCGAAGGGCTCGACATCTTTGACGAGGTAGCTGCCCCAAGCGGTCCAGGACGCGGGAGAGCTCTTAGCTCTGCATCCGCTTCCAGCGGCGGCTCAGGTCATGTCGCACTAAAGGAGAAAGCTTTCAAGATCAGGACTCGCGTCCGCATCCCGCATAAAGGTCTTCTTGCTGTAGGTCTGTCCAAGATCGAAGCTGGCGTCGAGTTCGAAGGCGTTCAGATCGGCATCATCACTGCGGAGGACATCGTGTTTACTCTGACCCAGGCAGATGTCGAGTTCGAGGCCAAGGGCTATATCTTTATAGGCAGCGAATCGCTGAAAGAGGACCAGACGATTCCCGAGTATAGGCAGACTGCCCTGCAGATGTTTGGCAGGCTTGCGAGTGCGCTTCTAGCTGGTACTTCTGCCGAGCTGACCATCAGAGGGTACCGCGCCTTTGCCATGGGTGAGCTGCAGCACCTCACTCCAAGCCGTAGCCAAGTTTCGCCTCATCTGAGGAGCAAATCCTCCACAAACTCGGTCCAGCGGACGCCTTCCAGCACGATTCAGAGAAAGGAGTCAATGAAGCTCGCACGAAATGGATCAATGAGCACCTCGTCAAGCTCGACCTTTACGCAAAAGCAAGTGCCCTGGCTTGATCAGGCTTTCCAAAAGGTCACGATCAAGACGGTGCTTCAGCAAGACTTGCATCCGGTCATCAAAGGCATACAGGTCAAGAAGATTTTTGCTAACTTCCTCCGCGAGCAATCCATGCAGGCCGACATCGACGAGATCTCGTTCCAAGTCGAAGTGCCTCTAGCTGTCCGCTTCGAGATCTTGTCGGTTCAAGCTGACATCGAGGTGCATTTTGAAGGCTACGGTTGCGTCGGGACAGGTTGGCTCGATGGCGATGTGCAGTCTTGCATTCCGTGCGAGGAAGCCAGCGGCGATAGCAGCAAGATGGACGAAAGCGCAAAGACGTGCCGTCTGGTGCGACTCGCGCCTGGTTCCTTCCACCTCGCCACGAAGCCCACTGAGGGCCTTGGACAGCTCATTGCGCACATTGCTGACTGCGAGGAGACTGACAAGATCAGCATTCGTGGCAAAGCTCGCGCCCGCGTCGACATGGCGCTCGGTGAGATCTACGTCGATGTGGATCTCGGGAAGCATCCACATGTGCTGCAGATGGATGGCGTGCGTGGGTTGCGATCAAGCCCTGTTCAGTACAGAAATCTGCAAGTGGTGGAGGCATCCAGCGGCTACCTCAAGATTGTCTTCTCGCTCTACCTCAACAATCCATCCAAATCGTTCCAATTTGCATTACCGGACACGGATATGACGATGGCAGCATTCTACCGTGGCATGTACGTTGGGAGAGCTCATATACCGAAGGGATTCAAGTTGGGAACAGGGCCGGTAGCGGTGCATGACATTCACTTCCGATATTGTCCGCCACTCGAAGCAAAGCAAGCAGTGCGCGATATCCCTGCCAACTTTCTGTCCGGACGCACCACCACACTCGAGATCAGAGGTGACGACGAATCGAGCGAGATTCCGCTCCTAGTTCCTGCTCTCAAGAGCATCAAGCTGTCATTCGCTCTCAAGCCGATGATGGATCGCACACTGATCGATAGCATCTCAATCGCTCTAGGCGTGACTGCTCTTACAGCATCGTCCGTGGACGCCGAGTTCGTGGTCAACAATCCGCTTGGCGTTCCATTCGATCTGTGCGCCATGTCGTTCATGGCGTATTACAAAGGCCAGCCCTTTGGCAGCTGCACAGTCAAATTCGAAGCCGATCGACCGCTTCGTGTGCCCGCTGGCAGTGTCAAACTACCCGGACGGCAGAAAAGCGCTCCGGTCACCGTGACACTTGCTCAACCGCTCGAGGACATGGTAGGCGCCTTCCTCAAGAGCAAAGGTCAGCTCATGCTTGACTTGGAGGTGGCGGCGAAGGTTGAGATTCAAGGATTCCAAATTCCTGATTTCAATTATCGCCAGCCGCAGCTTCCGCTCAATATCAAGGGCCTCGAAGGTATTTCCAAATGGATGAAGTTCTTGCCCGGATGAAACATGCATCTCTGCTTTTTCTCAGCATCATTGTCCCAGATACCCTGCCGCAATTGTCGGTCTTGCTTCATCTTTTGCGCAACTCAGCAATGGCATGATGGAGCCCAGAGAAGAATGACTGTGATTGCTGGTTGCAATGAGTGAATGAGCGGCTTTTGACTGTTTGTGTGTGTGTGAGTGAGTGTGTTTGCTTTGAGCGTGAGATCACCTCTTCTTGCTTGGAGGTGGAGGCAGCAGTGGTCCGCCTCCGAATCCGCCGCCGAGCCCTGATGAGCTGGAAGAAGATGATGTTGACGTGATCTTTCGACCTCCACCTGGAAGCTTGATTGCGAAGGTTTCGCCTTCTTTCAAGCTGAAATCCTTCTTTGGGCCTGTCGGGAGATGTGGAGAAGGCCCGTCATGGATGAGGGAGCCCTCGTTGTCGTCTGCTGTTGGGTTGGCAGCTCGATTGGCGGCTGCTTTTTGTCGTCTGTCGAGGTGAGGTGAGAGGTATGGGGAAGGGGAAGTTAAGGTTAGATCTTGAATGTGAGTTGAGTTGAGTTGAGTTGAGCTGAGACTGGGGCAAGAGGTGCAAGACATTGGTGAAACTTACTTTGTCCAGTCTTGAAGTGCAACATTGAAGTCGAAGCTATCGCTTCTATCCTGAAACTGCTCGGTTCAAATGGCAAAAGTATACATCATTCAGCACAATGTTGTTCTTATTCTTTGCGACTGACATTCATGTACTTACGCCCATGCCTATGTACGCCTTCTTCTTCTTCCCATGCGGACCTTCTGATTCGACTCGTAAGACAAAGTATCGACTGGAGTCGAGCACTGGTTCGACCGAAGTGCCTGTTACGTCGTATGGACATTCAGCAAAGAGTTCACCAGTGTTGGCGTCTTCCAAGCGAATCGAGCAAGTGTTGCAGTTGGAAGTTTCCATGATTCGCAGACGACCTTTCCAGAGAAAGGCCTCCATGTCGCCCCATTCGGCGGCCTTGTAGCCCGCGGTTGAGGAGCGGGGGGGTACGCGATAGACGAAAGACTCGCGTGCTACAAAGAGCACCGTTTCGTAGGCTGACATGGTTGGAAGCCAGAGTGTTCGGTTCCGATGCCGTTGCTGCAAGAAATGCGCCGGGTAAAGGTCACCGATTGCTGCCTCAGTCGGATTCGTGACCGATCAAGACGATGTCGAGTCTCGTATGCGTGTGAAAGGAACGAGAAGGTGGTGACGATGGCAACGATCAAGGAGGAGAGGTGGGTTGATGCAGCTGTGTTACTTTCGACGTGCATTAAACCTACGTGGACGCCGATAGAAGAGAGAAATCGGGTACAACTACGTCCCACTTGTTGTCGCATATCGACATTAGATAGGATGTCCTCATACCTGGGCATGTGCCATACGTTTGTATATATACCAAGCAGAGAGCACTAGGCTCTCGCCGCATTCACACTAGTCAATTGAGTATATATGTTTCTGTCTTTCAGCAGCAGTAACATCGTACTTAGACTCTCCCCGATCGCCAGTATCGGGACCGAAACGACTCAAGTTTCCAACAGTGGAGCGTCCCGTGCATGCAGGATGAATTTGTGTTGAGGAATGCACAATCGAGGAGTGTTAAAGCGGATGGTGAATTGTTGTTATTGGAAGAAGACTAGTTACAAAGCAATGCTAGGTATATATGCTTCTACTGATGGTCTGTATGTGCATATGTGGAATGAGATGACATGTGTAATCATATGCAATCACAATAGGAGTCAGGAGTGTTGGTGGAGTGAAAGCACATGACCGCATACTTATACTCTAACATGTCCGCCAACTTCGCTTACCATCGCCACTCATCATCTCCCACCAACGCTCGACATCATCTGCCAACAACTTCTATCTCGTTTGACAACAGCATGCAGTTACATGTGTCATCTCATCCACACACACACACGCTGACTACTGGTGGAGACATATATATACTCATGATATTGTTTTGTTTCTAGTTCTCTCTCAATAGCAATGATTTGCCACCTGCTTTACTGCCCCTGACTGTGCATTTCCTCAACAGATTAAGAGTCTGAGTGCTCTACTGTAGGAATATCACCCCACCTCGCCATGCTGCCTGACCCGTATTCTCGCCTGCCTCTGCCACCCAAAGAAAGGGCTTGCCTTTGCCAAATCTGCCAATCCAGCATGTCTCCACATATTGGCAACTCTGATGCCAAAAGCAGTGACCTGTTCAATGAACAGCACAAGGAAAGGGTCCCCATTGCACCACATAGGCAAATGCTGGTTGGTGCAGAGACCCCCTCATGCTATGACTCCAACTCCAATGATGACAATGGTGATGAAACACACTACAACATCGACACCATCTCCAAGCTCAACCCCAAAGTACTCAAGAGTATGCTTATTGAGCTCACCAAACACAACAAAGTAAGGAACTCCAATGCATACAAGAAACCCTCGTGTCACTCGGACTTCCACCAAAGACTCCCATGCATCCACAACACCTTCAAGGAAGCACCCAAGTGTCACAGGGTATGCGCAGAAGACCCTGCGCAGGAGACCCTGAATAAAAATTGGGTGCGTCATGCGCACAGAATGTGGAATGGAATGGCAGTGTGGTTCTCCTTCGGCACGGCTCCTCCTCCTCCTGCTCCTCGTCCCATATGCTTCCTGTCCTGTCTTTGTTCCAGTCCCTCGTACTCCTTGCCTCCGAGCTAGTGTGAGGACAAGCGACCTCATCATGTCCTAGGGGGTTTCTCCCACTCCCTCTGAGTGCTGGGCCCCTTGTGTCCATCATTCCATCAAGATTCTCCCACTCTTCATTGCTGGCACAACAACCCTCTTACACTGATGTCCTCTTTGTATAGGGGTCTCTCCCACCTCATCTGAATGGTGAGCTCTTCCTTTGCTTGTTCCCTCATGAGATCAGTGGGAGCTGCACCCTCTAACTGGTTTCCTCAAGATCTGTTGTATGGTCATGCTTCTACTGATCCATCAAACTCTGTCATAAGCTCTTGATCCTACCAATCCTGACAAATTCTGTTGTAGAGCCTCAATCCTACTAATCTTGACAAACTCCATTGGAACTCTCCAATCACCTGATCCCATGATTCCTGCACATGGTTTCTTCTCATACAAATCCAGTTCTTCTGTGCATCCGGTCCCATGACACAGAAGTCCCGGCTGGGAAAGTATACAAGTTGATCAAGGATCTCTATGGGCTGAAGCAATCCAGAAGGGAATGACATAAGGAACTGGATGCATATCTGCAAAGGCTGGATTTCTTCCTGTTGCTCAATGTACCCTGCATGTACCTCAAAAGCACAGGTGAGCTGCAGGTGATCATCACCATATATGTGGATGACATGCTCATTGTCTCACCACAACAAGATCAGATCAATCAGCCAAAGAGAGCAATCATTGACAAGTGGAAGATCACCAACAATGGACCCACAAAAGAGTTCCTCAAGATCAAGATCACATGAGACTGGGAGAAGAGGGTAATTGACTTGGATCAATGTTCATACATTAAGGAGATTGTAAAGGAATGGATCCAGCTGCACAAGAAAACATTGACCTCCATGACCCATACCCCTTCAAAGCCACCTCCCAACTTGGAGACCAATGGGGAACTGAAAGCCAGATACCCAATACTTGTGGGCAAGCTTTTATGGATCTTGAACACTGTCAGGCTGGATATCTCATTTACTGTCAACACCCTTGCTTGTCACATGTCCAAGCCTACCAAAGAGGCAATGCAAGCTGCCCTCTGAATCATCAAGTACCTTAACCAGACACAGGACAAAGTCCTGAGGCTCAGCAGTGGAAATGAAGACAAACTGGCCATTGTTGCTTACACAGACTTGAACTGGGCTTCAGATCTGAATACAGACAGGTGGAGTATGTCTGGCTCAATCATAAAGGTCTTTGGTAGTGTGGTAACCTGGAATTCACATGACCAGGAGTGTGTCTTGGACTCAGCTGTCAAAGTGGAGTATGTTGCAGGATTGGCAGCCACATGTGAAGCTCTATTCCATTGGCATTTGCTGTGTGGCCTCAGCTTTGGGGACCATGTCCTGTTGATCATCACAGATAACACCAGATGCATCCAGGTCACAAAGGATCAAGTGCTTCGCTCAAGACTCAAGCATATTGACACAAAATATCATCTTAACTGCAACCATATCATGGAAGGAGACATCACCATGCAATATGTTAAAACAGAACACAATGATGTGGACTACCTCACCAAACCAGTGTCCCAACACCTGCTCAAGTGCACTTGACAATGACTTGACAGGTGGTGATGCTGAGTGAGGTTTGTGCATATGTTAGAGTATGATTATGCAGTCATGTGATTTCACTGTCCCCCTTGCAAACTGAGCAATCCAAGGGTCTGAGGCTTACCATGTCAACTCCCACCAACACTTGTCATCACCCACCAACAACCCCTATCTCATTCAACAATGGTACACAGTCATACATGTCACCTCATCTACTCACACACACACAGATCAACTGTAGAAGCATATATAATCCATGATACCACTTTGTACTTAGTTGCTCCAAATGCTAATGATTACAATCTGCCTTATCGCCCCTGACCGTGCATTCCTCAACAATGATGAGTGACAACGGTGAGTGAGGTTTGCGAATATGTTAGAGCGAAGGACAGAGGTCATGTGATTTCACTATTTGTTCTAAACCAACCACTACTGTACAGGTACATAGCAGTCTCTGAAGCAGATCAGCCAGCACATCAACCAACGCAATGGGCTTACCTCTGGTAGTCGCAACGGTTGAGGTTTCGCTGTTTTCGATGATCTTATTTTCTATTCTTTTATGGATACTCGGCTACACTGGTGTATATATACACTTCTGGCATGAACTCTGGGTATGCTGCTCTATATTGCTTGGCTGTGCACTTGCTGCAATGCACTCCTGGTTGTTTCCTTATGTGTGGCTCCTAAGCCATTACCATGACAACCATTGTGCATCTTATATGCAGGCAGTCCATTTGCAGTCCTCATTTCCTCATGCATTTCGGACAAACCAATTTCCACAACTGCCTCCCTCAGCAGCAAAGCAGTAGGCTGCTGAGCTGCTGTACTCCTTTCAATGGTTAGGCCTAACCCCTTTCATGCATGCTGTAGTACTTCTTTACTGACAGGTTTGGTAAAGACATCTGCTGAGTTTTCTGCAGTATTTATATACTTGATCTTGATCTTACCATCCTGTACGTTATTCCTAATGAAATGGTACTTGGTGTTGATATGCTTCAGTTTCCAATGTTGTGCAGGGTCTTTGCTCACCTGAATAGTACTGGTGTTGTCTGAGAAAATAGTAGGGGTACCAACATCAATTCCAATGGACCTGAAGAGGTGTTTGAAGAACAAGACCTCTCATGTGGCTTCTGTCACAGCTACAAATTTGGCTTCTACTGCTGATAGAGTGGTGCAGCACTGCAGTGCTGACTTCCATGCCACTAGGTTTCCATGTATGAATACTGCAGAACTGGATGAACTCCTTCTCTGCGCTGTGGCATCACTTGCCAATTCACATTGCTATGCGCCATCAGGAAATCTTGTCATTTGTTACTGCCATATTGCAAATGAATGTCTTGTGTATGGTCCAAGTATTGGAGAACTTTCTGTGCTGTGTTATAATGCTCCTTCGACAGTTGGGTCATGTACCATGCGAGGACTCCAACAGCCTGACTGATGTCAGGATGTGTTCCATTGGAGAGCCACAGAAGTTTACTGATGATTTGTGGATACTCCTTTTGTTCCATGGTGCTAGCTGTCATTTCTGGGATTGGGATATCTTGGAGTGGTACACTTGACTTTCTCTCCAGCATTTGTCCAAGTGTTCATTCAGCAGTTGTTTGACATAACTGGTCTGCTCCAGGCTCATAGTTCTTGCTTCTATATTCCTGGAGATCTTGATTCCTAGGAAATGTGATACATCACCGCCCTCCTCCATCTTCCATCTTCTGCCTATCTCCTCCTTGATATGCTTGGCTGTTTCAAGTTTCGGAGTTATGATTAATGTGTCATCAACATAGATGATCACTATTGCAAAATTGTCATCCTTCCCTCTGGTGTAAATGCATGGTGTGCAATCAAGCCTGTGGAAATGCGATCATCGGAGGAACTTGTCAAACTCTATATTCCATTCCCTTCCTGATTGTCTGAGGCCATACAAACCCTTGATGACTCGATAGGCCTTTCCTTCTGGCACTTTGGCACCTTCTGGGGGTTTCATATATATCATGTGCTTGAGTGTGGAATTTAGGTATGCCATTGTTATGTCGAGCTGCTGGACTTCCCAGTTGCATTCCACTGCCAAGGACAGTAAGGCTCTTATTGCACTGAGTGGTGCTACTGGCATGAATGTCTCTTCGAAGTCGATGCCTTCTCACTGAGTGAAGCCTCGTGTGACAAGCCTTGCCTTATGTCAGACTGGTATTCCATCAGCATCCAGCTTGAGTCTGAGAACAATTTTGGAGTCAACAAGATTTGCATTCGGTGGTGTATCTACAATCTCCCATGTTCCCATTGCTTCAAGTCCATCCAGTTCCTTGCATATGGCTTCTTGCCATTGTCTTGCATCATCGCTAGCAAGTGCTTCTTTCAGTGTTGGTGTGAGATTAAGTATTGCCATTTGTGCCTCTCCAAGAATCTCTTTGACTGTGATTTCCAATCTGTCATCATCTGTGGAGTCAATGGGTGGTGTGGTGCATTCATCTAGGAGTGGGTCCCATATGTTGATTACTTCCACTTCCAGCTCAGGCTCATTGTTGTCTGGTTCCTGTTTCTTATCTTTGGCTTCCAGGTTCTCAAGTCCAAATTGTAGGGGGCTCTGTGTTCTAGGCTGGTCATGCCAGCTCTTGGATTCATGGAACATGGCCAAGTTACTCCATTGTATAGATGGGCTGTGACCAGGAGTATAAAATCTCCAACCTTTGTGTTCATTGTCATATCCTATCATGATGCCTGGTATGGCTCTCACACCATGCTTTCCTGTGTGATCTTTCTTCAGGAGGTGGATCCATGTGAGGCAGCTGAAGACCTGCAGCAGCTTGGCTAAGCCATGTGCAGACTTTCAGTAGAACTCCTCATATGGTACCTTATTTGCATTTGCAGAGGGTGTCAGATTCAAAGTGTGTCCCACTGCCATGATTGCATATGGCCACAGCTCCTTTGGTGATGATCTCTGCACAAGCATCACATGCATTCTCTCTTGGAGGGATCTGATCATATGTTCCACTCTTCCATTTTGGACACTGACATATGGAGTGGTTTTCTGCCATATGAAGCCTGCCTGCCTTTTCCATTCTTCTGCTTCTGTGCTTGACCACTCTGATCTGTTATCACTGCATATGCATTTCAGTGTGTGGTCTGTCATTATCTCAGCCACCTTAATCCATGTTCTTAAAGCTGGAAATGCTTCAGCCTTACTCAGAAGTGGTTTCACATGTATGAAGGATGATGAGTCATCCACAACTACCAGGGCATGGTGGTAGTTGGGATGACCTTGTAGGCCAGTCATCAAATCAACATGGACCAGTTCTAGTGGCACTCGAGCTTGCTCTGTCTTGCTGCTTCCCATTCTTGCTCATGTTTGTTTGGCTTGACTGCAACAGTTGCAGTCCTTCACATTGTGTTCTAGCTGTGTTTCTTTGCCCAAGTAGTGTGCTTGGATCTGCTTGGTCTTGCTTCTGCTGGGGTGTCTGAATTGTTTGTGCCATAGTTCACTGATTGTATGGCCTTTGTGCTTTGCTGGTGATGTGTTGGTGTCAATGCCCTCAAGTGGGTCATTGAACTGCACTGCTAGGGAGTCACCATGAATCTCCCATCTTTTCTTGCATTGGTTGGTCTTACTCTTGACCATGCTTCCATCTTGCTGGAGGATAGTAGCTCCAGACTCTTCAAATATTACATGTGCACCATTTTCAGTCAGCACTGGGATGGACAATAGGTTCTTGCTAAGGTTGGGAATGTGAAGTACATCAGTGAGTGGTATCTTAATGTCTCCTACTTGCAAGTTGCTTCACCTATTGCCTGCACTCGTAACCATTCATGCCTGGCAGTATCTATGGATCCTTGCTTCAGCGTCGAAGCAATGAGCTTATCCTCATCATGTACCATGTGATGTGTAGCTCCAGAGTTGAGAATCCACATACTGTCTTGGTTACAGTTGCCAGTGTTGCTTATGAAAAAGGTGCACCTGAGTCCCTATCCCTGCTGAGTAGGAGTTTGCTCCTGACTGCTGGTGCAATTGATGGCAATGTGCCCAGGTTGCTTACACTTATAGCACTTGGCTGGTTCATTAGGGTTTGTGGGGTCATGCCTACCCCTATTGTAGCCCTCTTGGTTAAGAACCTGCCTATGCTTGCCAGCTTGGCCTGTTGAACTTCTGTTGCTTGCAACTCTGGCTGTGGCTCAGATACAACCTGAGAGCTCGGCTTCTTGGAACTTCTTAGCTAATGCATGATATGCATATTTGTAATTGCAGCCAGGTTGAGCAGCCTTGAGGGAGTCTACAGTTTGGGTGTATAACCAGTCATCCTTGACACAGTGGTAGAGGGTTGATTTCTTGAGCTTTTCATCCATATGACTACCAAGCCTGGTGGCATTGTTCCAAATCTTGTCAAGTTCCTTACCCAGGTCGATGATGTTGCAGTTGAGTAGCTTGATTTCATGGATGCAATCATGAATGGCAGAGAGTTTTACTTTGTCATTAATCATGAGGGCAGCTCTGAGCTTCTTGTATGGTGAGGAACCTAGCTGTTCCTCCTTGTCATGTTCTCATACTGCATAAGTGTCAATGTGGCTATTGGGTCCATGGTTGCATGAGGACAGAATAAGACCTAGTAGGTGGCTGTCTAGTTCTTCATCATAGTCATTGTGGCCAACTGGGATTTCTCCAGTGAGGATGTGCTTGGCATTTTTGATTGGGCAAATGCAATCCATGAACATGGGTTCCCAGATGGCCCAGTTGTTCTTGTTGAGCTTGACAATCTGTGAGATGATGCTAAGTATGGACTTGGGGATCTTTTCAGTTTGACTGGCATTGGGTTGGAAGTTCATCATGGCAAAAGCACATTCAAGGATTTGGTCTTCATGCCAATCAGAGTGAGTATCTCTGACTATCTGCATGGTACGTTCTAGCAGGGCTATGCTATCTACTCTTGGTGGCATCCCGGTGGTGAGGTGCTGGAAGCTGCTGAGCTTCAGACTCTTAATCAGTTGAGGTTTTGCTGTTTTCGATGATCTTATTTTCTATTCTTTTATGGATACTTGGCTACACTGGTGTATATATACACTTCTGGCATGAACTCTGGGTATGCTGCTCTATATTGCTTGGCTGTGCACTTGCTGCAATGCACTCCTGGTTGTTTCCTTATGTGTGGCTCCTAAGCTGTTACCATGACAACCATTGTGCATCTTATATGCAGGCAGTCCATTTGCGGTCCTCGTTTCCTCATGCATTTCGGACAAACCAATTTCCACAACTGCAGGCAAAGAGAAAAAGGCGTCGGGCATGAGAGTGATTGACTTGATTCAGTGTGAATGGCGGAGAGAAAATTAGGTATCTACAACTTGAAAAGGAAACCAGTGTGGTCATTGCGGCAAGAGTCTATTCCAACTTGAGATGGCAGACTCAGAGACGCGAGATCAGCATCTTGACACCGACAAGACCGGCAGCGACATCACCAGAGCTGCTCGTGACAAGCTGGAGGTGAATGTTGAGGGCAGCCTGCTTGTTTCTTGCCTCGATGGCGGCCACAATCTGCATGAGACCCTGTACGGACTTAGCATCAATGGTTCCACAGTTGAGGTGGTCAAGCAACAAGTTGATGCGGCGCTCTGTGTCGTCGACCATTCTCTTTTGCGCAGGTGGAGCGGTTGACTTTAAACGTGCGACTTCACGCTGGAGGGCGTGCTGAATGGGTCGCTGGTTTTCGGGGATGTGAGAACGATCACCGGGGGGATACTTCATCTGAGGTGCATTGCGAGAGCCTGGCGTGGCGCTGCGAGGGGGTGCACCGGCGCCTCCGCCCGGGGTCGCCGAACGCTGGGGAACACCCGGTGGACCGGCAAGACCCGGAACGCCCGGCTGAGCCTGGCCTGGAGGTCGAAGGGCACCGGCACCTGGAGCAGGTGGCGCGCCAGGCTGTTGCAGTCCGTTGCCATATGGAGCACCGGGGCCTGAGGGCTGTCGTGCATATGGACCCGAAGGAGGAGCACTCTGACCAGGTGGTCCGGGCTGGGGCTGACCGGGAGCTGGAGCTCCATATGAGTTCTGCTGCTGGCCCGGGCGTGGCTGACCCTGTGCGGGTCCCGTGGGAGGTGGACGAACACCGGGTGGTCCAGCACGCTGCGCAAGGCCAGGACCTTGAGGAGGACCCTGAGGAGGACCCTGAGGAGGAGGGCTGATCATGCCGCGAGAAGGCGTTGCTCCTCGAGGCGGTCCGGTGGGCGGCGCACCAGGAGCGCCGCCGTAGGGAGATGGCGCCTGAGCAGGAGCGTTGGGGAAGGGCGAGGTGATGGCGGAGGTCGACTTGTGCTGGGACATGGCGCTGGGAGTGCGCTTGGGAGCTGCAAGACCTTCAGGAACGTCGTTCCATCCAGACGCATCACGCTTCAGCGGCGGTGGTGGCGCAAGTGACTGCTGCTGCTGCTGTTGCTGGTACGATGAAGCGCCATAAGTGGGTGGAGCCGAGATCATAGGCTGAGTAGGCTGATATGCCGACTGGTAGCCTTGAGTACCATATCCTCCGTAGCTGTTGTTCTGCACGGGTTCCGGCTGGATAGCTGTAGGGACTGGAGCAGGTACAGCGGGCGCGTATCGTGATTGCGTGGCAGGCTGGGTAGCGGCAGGTGCTGGAGCAGTAGCAGCATATGGGTCTTGGTATGCAGAGACCGCAGGCACAGAGGGCACCGAGGGAACAGCGGGGACGGACGACGTGCTCGACTGTCCGTAAGGGTCGTAGGGCGCATATCCGTTCGAGGTCGAGGTCGAGGCCGGACCGTACGACAAAGTGGAAGCGGCGGCAGCAGCAGCTGGGGCAGCCGCTTGGGCTGCAGCGGGCTGGCCCTTAGGGCGGGCGCTTTCAGCCTTGAGCAGACGCTGCTTGAGCGCAGTACTGGCACCCTGTTCGACGGGACCCTGAGGTCGGTAGTCGGAAGGTGTCTGGTTGGCAAACCTGAGAGCAGGCGTGATGAGACCCTGATCGGCCAAGAGCTCGACGTACTCGTGAATGCGGTCGTAGAGCGGTGCGAGCTTGTAAGATCTGGCACCGGTCTCTGCGACGACCGAGTCCTGAGTTGGCTGCTGAAGGTCGACGTCGACGTATCCGACGGCGCTCTGGAAGACGGTGATCTTCTCCATGAAAGTCTGAAGAGCCTCGGCGCGTGCCGAGTAGAGGGTGCCCTCGTGCGATGCATCGGTTTGCTTGCTGTTGGACCTCAAAGCAAGCTCTTGCTCCTTCATCTCTTCGATCCACATGCCAGCGACCTTTTCGAGCTTGCCAGCAGCGAGGTAGCAGAGAACGGCGTTCTTGCGGTGCTCCTTGGCTTGAGCTGGATCCGAGTTGCGTGCGACTGTGTATTGAAACTCGAGACGCTGGCCGAGCTGTTCGGTCAAGTTGCTGAACTCGTCCTGCTTGGCGAAAGTGCAGAGGACGACAAAGATCTCTTGCCACTCGCCAAGGTCGGCATTCTGCACAACGTCGGTGAGGTCGTCCGAAACGATGCTCTGGAAGAGACGAAGGTAGGGAAGCTGAGCGGTGAGCTTCTCAAAGTAAGCTTTTTGGGTCTTGGCGAGGAGCTCCTGACCACCACGGACGGCGAGAAGGAAGGCATCGGCGAATCGGTCGCTGTTGATGCAGATCGAGACGGCACTGTCAAAGTCGCCGAGTACCAGGGCGCGAGTGATGAGCTTGTCGCCCTCAGGCTCCTCGGACGGGTAGATTTTGAAGGTCGAGGGGCGAATGTTTTCGCTGGCTACCGACGAGGGGCCGGGCGAGCCAGCAGTGGCAGCGACTGAGGACTGCAGGGGAGCTTGAGACTCGGAAAGGAGATGGTCAGGCAAAGCGGAACGGACAGCGGGGGTCTGGCCGGCTGAGATCTGGCTGAAGAAGTCGGAGCCATCATTGGCGTTTGCACCGGCTGCATCGTCGCTGAAAAGGCTGGGCTCGTTGGCGTCCTTAGCCTCGGTATCCGCAGGCTTGTCTGCTGCGGACTCGGTGGGCTCAACTGCGGTCGTCGCGTCAGGAGCAGCGACAGGCGCCTCCTTGCTGACGGCAGGTGCGGCGGGCTCAGGCTCATCGATGGCCTTTGTGACAGGAGTGGTTTCCTCTGGAACCGTGGTACCGTTCGACTTGAAGGCTGCGATGGACTGAGAGACCTTTTGGGCGACATCCTCTTTGGAGAAGCCGAGAAGTGCGACGAGCTCATCACGCGAGTCGGCGCGGAAGAGAGTCTGAAGCGCTTTCCAGTTGGCAATGTCATCGGGTCTAGTGGAGGGATCCTGGCTGCGCTCGGCACAGAATTGGGCGAGGCTCTGAGCGTCAAGCGCTTGCTGGAGTTTGGCGGCCCTCTCGACGATGGAAGGCTCGGAGACAAGATCGCGGAGGTGGACGGTAGGGCTGAAGGGCTTGGAGGAAGGGCCACCGCTGGAGACAAGCTGACCACCAAAACCAAAGACGGCCGAGACGGGGCGTCGAAGCCATTTGGGAGGCTGTTTAAGTGACAGACCCTTGGAGGCAGCTTCAGGAGCACTGACCTGGTTGAAGAAGTCGGAGCCATCAGAGACTTGGGGTGGGGCGGGGGGGGCGTGAGATTCAGGAGCGTTGGTGCTTTGAAGCGAGTGGACGCCAATGTTGCCGTCGAAGCTGGCAGTAGCAAGCATGCCAGGGTTGCGCGGGGACCATTGCACCTCGAAAGACCAGTTGGAGCTGGAGGGTAGTTCGCCAACAATCTCGCAAGTCTGAGGGTTCCAGCAGATGGAACGGTTGTCTTTGCCACAAGAGAGGAGGAGGTCGGCGTCTTGCTTGCACCAAGAAAGGGAGAGGAGGCCCTTGTCGTGACCGGTCATGATCTTTTCGGGAGCGCGCGAGTTTCGGAGATCCCAAAGCATGATGACAGGGCTAGAGTCGTCCTCGCTGGCTGTAACGAGTCGGGTTGGAGTGTCTGGGTGCCATGCAACGGCGCTCATACCGCGTCGGCCACCGGCAGCAAGGGCAGCAGCGGCGTTGAAGGCGAGGCTGCCACCTGCAGTGCCAGCACCACCGCCATACTGAAGAGCAACGACTTCACGCTTGCTTTTGAGATCCCAGACGACAGTGTATCCGCTGCTGGAAGAAGTGGCGAGAACGTGAGGAACTTGACAGTTCCATGCAAGAGAGGTGATCTCATCAAGCTTTTGAGAGCGAGCGCCGGGAGAGTAAGGCTTGGCAGGCGAGTTGATATCCCAGATGAAGATTTCGCCTGCAACGGCACCGCTGGAGAGCAAGTTGGGCTGGAGAGGGTTGAAGTCGAGACCTCGAACGGGACCGGTGTGTGTTGTATTTTTGATGAGCTGTGCTTCAGATTCGGATGCGCCATCCAAAACGATTTGAGCGTCCCAGATGCCTAGCTCTCCATTCTCGAGACCAGCAGCGAGGAGACCTTTTGGACGAGAGGAGTTAACATAGCCCCAAGCAAGACGGTTGAATCGTGCACTGGTGGAGATGCTAGCTAGTGGCTTTGCGTCGGACGAGGGATTGGCGGCGTTGGCCGAATGAGGAGGAGAAGCGGCATAGGAAGGCTGCCAGATTTCGAGGAGACTTTCGTTGCTGAAGGATTCGTCAAGGGCGCCTGCGATAGTACCAGTTGCAATGAGAGGAGAATGGGACTCGTAGGTGGCAGGCGACCATGCAAAGGTGGCTGTGCGGTTGATGTAAGCCTTCATAATGGCAAAAGGGCTAAAGAAAGCAAACGAGCGGGCTCAGCCCTGCAAGTTGCACTTGGCGAAGCAAGCAAGCTTTATGCAATGGGGACGGAAAAGAGATGTGTGTATACAGATGCCGGATTGAAGGACCAGGTCGACTCGAACGCAATGTTAGATCAGTACCGTTGCGATGCGATGCGATGCGATGCGATGCGATGCGATTCGATTCGATTCGATGCGATGCGATTCGATGCGATTCGATTTGCAGCTGAACTGATCGAAGCCGGAGCAAGAAACGGAATGGACGAAAGAGGTGAGAGGGCTAAGAATGGGTCCAGACGGGCAAAGAAAAGCGATGGTGGAAAGAGTCGGATTGAGGAAGAGGAGGGAGGGAGGAAAGGAGGGAGGTGAGGGAGATGAGGGAGATGAGGGAGATGACAGGTGGCCTTACTGGAAGTTGGAAATGCCAAAACGAGCAGAATGAGCTGGCTGATTTGCCCATTTGAAATGGCATTCGATCCTGAATACAATTTGACAAGCATCACTTGCAACTTGCGAATACAATTCGGTGCTCATTCGATTCAACCCACGTCAAATTGATTTACAATTCTCCCTTGACTTTTCCCCCTTGACTATAATGAACCTCGTTTCTATAATGAACCTCGTTTCTATAGTAAAAGTCGTTTCTATAGTAAAAGTCGTTTCTATAGTGAACCTTGAGAACAGCGTTAGACAGCCTTTATCAAGCCTCACTTACCATAGCTGAACTGTTGTACAAACGGAAAGGATGGCCAAAAGGCGAGATTGCTTCTCGTGCACGGACCATCTTTGGGTTCCATTTTTTTGATCCTCCGTGAGATGTTGGCTTGTGGAAATCTAACAGCCTTGCAATTTGCACTGGGTGATCGGGACCGCGCGCGCCTCCACGATAGCCAACTCAGCCATTTCACTCGACTTTGGCTGCTCCTTGAAGCTACACTTTTGGCCTTCACTCACAACCTCGATCCATTGGCCTTGCTATTCCCAAAACATCGTCCACTCAGACCTTCCGATTCGCCAAGGATCTTACAAGTCTCTCTCGAGCTATCCAACGCCTGCACGCTTCTCCTGCCATGTCGGCCACCAGCTCCAACTCACAGACCTCCAAGCTAGAGGCGCAGTCCTCAAAACCTCTCGACGAAAACAAGTCTGCACTTCCATCTCTCGGCGCTCTCGATGAGGATGACGAGTTTGAAGAGTTTGACGAACAAGGTGAGTAGCTTAGCTTTCCGTCTACCTTGTACTTTTCCTTATGTACACCCTAACTTCAGCTTTCTATCCGCAAACAGATTGGAACGATGCAGAGACAGATCTTTCACACTTGACAGCTGGTGCCAATACGCTAGGCTCCGCTGTTGGCCTCACCATGGGCGCTTCCTCTGCCAGCACAGGCGACCACCTCTGGCAGGATTCCTGGGATGACGACACCGTCGAAGATGACTTCAGCAAGGCTTTGAGGTAAGCTTTCATCTTGCTTGGCTCATTTCCACTGCCAGTTTGCCCATCCTCACCCTTTTCCGCTTTGGCCTTCTGTATATTATCCACTTGCTTTCGTGCCGCAGAGCCGAGCTAGACAAGCAAAGCAACGCACCTCAAGCCATGTCGACCTAGTTCATCTTATCATTATCCCAATCTCAACACCTTTTCGCTCATTCTCAGAAATCCTGTTGTGCTAGCAACCGCGCATCAGACCATCGCCGCAATGTCGTTTGATTCAGATAAACAAGACCGTCTGAGCTACCAGCTCTGCGTTCGACAATGCGGCGACACATTCCACCGCCTGCACCAGCTCCCAGTCTCGGTCTGCCTCGGGCGACTGTCCCTGCTGCAAACCTTGCACGTACTCTTGAAATATGTTTGATCCCTACATCAGCAGAGATGCATTGGCAGCGGCCCTTCATCGTCAGCATACCTGTCAAGCCTTGGCTTGGAGAACATAGAGTGTCTATACTTACTAGCAGAGGCTTGATTCCTGCATCTTGATTCTGCGCTTCGAGCACCACGCATTCTTGCAGTACATCCACATCCCCGTCGATCCGTGAGGCCTCAGCACCACCAAGCATTTCCTGCAGAGCCTCGAGGATCGTGTGGGCATTCAGCATTCCTGGTGGAGCTCTCGGCCGTGTGGGCACGCGCAGAGGGCGTTCTTCCTCCTCTTGGCTCTCCTCTCCAGCCTGGTCGCCATTGTCCCCGGCGTGCTGCTGTATATTCGACCAGCCGAACGACTGCTTCGCATCCAGCCTCGAGGAGACATGGTCAATCTTGCGCCAAGCATTATCGTTGCAGTCGAGGAGTTGGCTGGGCCGGTAGTCTGCCTTGTACTTCATCTTCTGACAAGTATGAATGTAGAAGCCCATGTAGTAGAAGCCGACATCGCTCGTACTTTCAAGTCGCCCAAGACGTTTGGTGAGGGCGACCTCTTGTAGAGCAGTCACTTTGCCCAGCTCCCAGTCATTGTACTCGGGATCGTACAACACATATACGCTACTAACGCAATGGGGTAGAATGTCGAGCACACCAACAGCAATGAGCTTGCCGTCCAATCGATATTCCTGATGATAGTTGCCGTAAGGTATCTCGTCCGGTAGATGTGCAGGGTCGAGTTGCTTTGTCCTCCAGAGAGCTTCTTCAGCCGAGCTTAGTGGCTTGCCCGTCGACGGCCAAGTCAAAGCAAGGCTTGAGTCGACAAGGAAGCGACAGAATCCTTTTTCGCTGCTGATATCATCTTCCAACTCGCCATGAACCTTGGCCTGATATTTGCGAAAAAGCTGGTACTTTTCTTCGCTGGTGCTAGCGAGAGCAAGTCCAACTTGAAGTTTGCGTGTGGTGGGGCCGGCTACACGCTCCGCCCAGCCTCCTGAAGAAGAAGAAGAAGAAGAAGAAGATGGTGATAAAGCAGACGAAGCCAAGATCTCGTCCAAGCGCTGCTCTACGTCCCAATCTCTACCTATGCTCCATCGACCCTTCCACTTTGCTGGCTTTTGCTTTGTTTGACGGACCCTGAAGAGAAGATTGGTGAGAGCACGTTTGTGAGCCTTGTTGGGCTTCAAGTCATGAACGGCAAGCCGAATAGGGACCTGTGGACAGCAACTCCTGAGGAGATCTGGCTTGTAGATGTAGTCACCCGATCGTCTCCAGCCTTGATTGATCAGGGTCTGATAGTGGTAGGGCGACAGACGATGAGCCCAGATAGCGTAGGATTTGCTTGACTTGGTAGAGCTTCGTTTGCCAGAGCCCGGAGCTGTGCAGTATCCGCACGTCGACTTGGTGTAGCCTATAGGGGATAAGATCGAGAGCTGGACGACGGTGCGCTTGTCTGGCATGGTCGAAACAGCATTACGCTACATGCTCGAGTCGTGTTGCACGGTCAAGATGCAAGAGGCTGCGGCTGTCATCGTGTTGTTGATCCATCCAAAAAGTGCAGGAATTTGAGTTGAAGCACGTGGTACCTCGGTGACCGAAGCATGTATATGCAGCTTTCGCCGAGCCCACATCCAATCACCAACCTCACTCTCTCAGACTTGATGCAGCACCCAGGCCGACCACCAAACCTCAAGATACCAGTCAACAGCAGCTGGTGTTTTCCTCCCCTTTAGTCTCTCATTCATGCTATTGCTCTATCAAACACTAGTACCATACATGTATGCAGAAGGCATCAACATATATATAAGCACACAATTCACTATGTACTTAGATATGATTCTCTATTGCAATTGACACTTGTGATCATTGACTTTGATGCACGCACGATTGATCTTGACGACACTCTTCAACTGATTAAAAGTCTGAAGCTCCACCAACTGAGCTCACCACCATGCCCTCACAACCCAACAATCTGCACCCTGCCAATGACCCCTCACATGAGGAACCCTCTGACAATCAGGCCGAAATGATTCTGGTACCTGCAGAACATCAAAGATTCACTGAATCTGATTCCAACTCCTCTGATGACTCTGACAGTGATGACAGCAAACTAAGTGAACCCCTGCTTGACCTCAATGACATTAACAAAATGAATATCAACACCCTTCGAAACATCATCACTCAGTCCACCCTATGCAAATGAGCCAAGACCTCCTCATACAAGCTACCTTCCAAATGCCAAGGTTTCCTCCATGAGGTAACTCAACTCAACAATGCACTAAAGGATACACCCAAACTAACCATGAAGAACTGGTATGCCTGGAACCCTCGTTTCCAGGACATACTGGCCTTGTGGTCCCCAGCACTCAAGCACCTTGATGGCACCACCAAACCAGGTGATAAGAAGTATGACAGAAGATTGGATGCAAAACTCCATATGATCATCCAAAGCAATGCAAAACTCATTGGTCAGGACAATGTGAACTATCTGTTCATATGACTGGCAAACACTGAATCATGGAGAACACATGAATTGTATGCCTGACTCAAGAAAGATCTCACAAAGATGGAGCACATCACCAAATCAACTCTTCTCTACAAGGCTGGAAGGATTCACATGTTCAATGCAGACATCTGTAAATTTGCCACTGACTTAAACAAGCATTGGGCCAAGGCCAAAGCCATGGGTTTTAACCTGATGAGGGTCCTCAAGATCAAAACTCTTATTGATCAGGCGAGATTTGTGACTGCCTACAACACATGCATCATGAACCTGCAAGACAACAGTCAAGGAATGGACTACAATGTGATTTGTGCAGCTCTTTTCAAATGACAAGATGATATGGCAATGAAACCAAGTCATAGGACCAACAGCAAGACCACACAAGCTTTCATTGTGAATGGACAAATCACAAATCAAGATGCATATAGCATTGGAAAACCAGGTCCTGACAGCTGTCAAAGATGCTATTACTGTCAGGGGGAGAATCACATCAGTCAGTTCTGCCCTAAGAACCTGAACAGTGAACACCAAGCTAACAATGCCACCAACTCAGCTGCCAGATCAAAGGACAATCAGACACCCACCTAGGAAACCTGGTGCACCATTGCATCAGCATATCGCACTTCCTTGGAACAACAACCCAACTCATGGGTTATAGACTCAGGGGTGACAGACCACATTACAAATGACAATATGACTCTCATTTCACCATCTCCATGCACAGGATTTGTGAAAACTGCTGGTGGAATGAGAATTGAAATCAAGGCTAGAGGCCAAGTCATTGTCAATGTTGATGGATACAAGGTATATCTCAACAATGTACTTTATGTTCCAAAAGCAAGTGTAAATCTAATGTCAGTGCAAGCTCTTACAAATGATGGTGTACATGTGATATTTAATCCAGAGAATGCACACCTCAGATGGCCCAATGGTCATGAAGTAAAAGGATATACCAACACTCATATGAGGCATTGGGAAATCCACCCAACAAAGCCAGAAGTCCTTATATCAATGATAGATGACGAAATGAACGATTTACCAGAATGACTTAATACCAAGGATCCACCAAAATCATGAAGTTTCACTAAGGATTTCATTCATGAACAATGTGGTCACCCTGGCTGAGACAAGAGCCACATGATAGAAAACAAGTACAACATCAAGATCAAACCATATGAATGTCAAGATTGCATGGTGAGCAAGTCAATGAAAGCATGAATGGGACAAGGTAGTGGCAAATGTGCCAAGGATCCACTGGGGCTCATACATGTCAACTTGGTGACACACTTTTCCACTAAGACAGAATTCACCTCCATCTTGGTGGCAGTGGATGATGCATCCAGTTTCACACATGTCAAACCTCTACATTCAAAGGCTGATGCACTACAAATACTGAAAGAATGGATCAACTATGCTGAAACCCAAACTGGATATAAACTCAAGGCTCTTTGGTCCAACAATGGATCAAAATGGATCAATGCAAATGCAATTGCATGGCAAAATGTTGCAGGTTTTTGATGGCAAAAGACATCAACATACAATAGTGAGCAAAATGGAAAGGCAGAACAGATGATAAGGACAATCAAGAATATGATGATGGCAATGATGCAGTCTCATAATCTACTCCAGACTTTCTGGCTGTTTGCAGTTGAAGCAGTGGTCTTTATGAAGAACTTGATACCAAATGTCCAAGGCCACATTCCATATCATGTATTCTATCATAGAGACCCCAAGAAACCATTCAATATGCTATGCACTTTCAGATGTCTTGCCTGGGTACATGTGCCTAAGATGAAGAGAAAGAAACTCGACAAACCAGCTATACCTGCCATTTTCATCAGATATGATGAGGAACATAAAGGATGGAAGTTTGTATCCCCAAAGCACAATCCAATGGTGTTTTGGTCTAATGCAGTGTCATGGGCCTGGATGCTCAAGAAGCAGGAGGGTCACTGGTTCATATGGAAGGAGCACAGGTATCGAAGACCTAGTCGATACCAGTAGAGAGCATGGTCATAGTGCAGTCTCCATGGAGACCATGGACTCCTATGGATTCACATGCAAAGGAGCACTGAGCCCATATGCGAGGAGGGCCAGGCACAGCCACGAGGAGGACCAAGCTCAAAGAGCAGGCACAGCCACGAGGAGGACCAAGCTCAAAGAGCAGGCACAGCCACGAAGAGGACCAAGCTCAGATGGTTACCACTCAGGGGCTCGAGAGACAAGAGTCATAGGACACTGGCAAGCAGGTCCTGAGGAAGAGGAGCAGTGTCGAATGAGTCGACACCACTCAAGAGACACAGGGGTACCAAGCAGGAGAGGCCCCTGAACAGTACTCGATGAAGAAGGTACTCTCTGGAGAGAGAGCAGGAGCAGCATCGCTGGCGATGCTGTGAAGAGGTATATAACCATGCTTTCTCATCATCAAAGGTCGAGTGGATCCTCATCCACTCTATACTCACCATACAACTAGTCAATACTTTAGAAACATAAGTACTCATTAGTTTCAGTCAGCATAGCAGCAATCCATCAAAGGTTGCTCCTCATCGTAGTGTGTGTGTTGTATCACCACTACCTGACGTCCGAAGGCGCCCATAGCAGGTTAGCGGTCCGGATCAAGATAGAACCGAAGGCAGTAGTCCACTGCGGTCCGGGGATCACTTCAAGCATCAAGTCAACACACTGGACACTCGTGTTGACGCCACCAACCTTATCACCAACACCATCAACCTCATTATCATCAACACTCACCAACCTTATCACCAACATCATCAACCTCATCATCATCAACACTCACACCAGACCTTGGTGGCATCATAACATTGATATTGATCGTGCCGAGCTACCCCTGAACGGAGTGTCCACAGAGGTCAGCCGAAACCTACAATAGTATATACAACGAACACCACCTGCTGTCACTGCACAACTTGATAGTCACCGATACCGAGACAATAGCTGTCGCACAGTTTGATAGTCACTGAGTATCTCGACAGACCGACCTGGGTTTCAGGCGCGAGACCCCTGACATTAGAGTGGATCGTTCAAGCAGCTCCTCACAATCACCATGATGGACCCAGACCTCAACAATAAGCTCGATAGACTACTCACTCTATTGGGAGCACAGCTAGAGCTTACCAGACAGGGTCATCGAGAGGAACGATTACAACGAGCTCAACTGAGCAGGGAGGAGACAATGGACCTCTCTCACTCAGAAGACCAAGCAGGAGGAGGAGATGAGTCTATGATAGGAGACCCACATACTCCTACTCTGGCTCCACGACCAAGATGATCAGTCTCATTCAACCTGGATGAGCAGGAGGACATCAACTATGAGAAGTATGCTTCACCTACTGGGCCAAGATACGTCAAGACTAAGGTGGACCCCTACAGCAGGACTAGGACGGACCCTTACCCCCTGGACCATGAGGAGGACACCAGCATCATGGCAGAGCTTAACCGGTCAAAGCCCATTGCCACCCCCTTCCCAAAGTTCAATCCCCGAGACATGGAGATCTTCATTCTAGAAGCCGAAGCATGGTTTAAGTTCAACCAGGTGTATGAGCAGACTAGGATGATCAACCACATGGGTGCTCAACTGGAAGGGACAGCAAGAGAGTGGTGGACCTCCAAGCTCCGTATTGATAGAGCTAGAGAAGGAAGGTTGTTCAATGATTGGCACTACTTCACAGAGCGACTGTCAGAACAGTTCAACCCACGCAATGCTAGGATGGAGGCATACAACAAGCTGTTGGCTCTCAGACTCACAAGTGATGCTCCTGGTGCCGCCACACGTCATGTAGAGCGGTTCAGAGACTTGGAGGGACAGGTCAACCTAGATGACAACGAGCTAGTAATTGATCTCTTCAGGGGAAGTCTCACTCGCAGCATACAGGAGAAGTTCGAGAGGAATCCACCTGGGAAGAGATGGGAGTGGTACCGAGAGGTTGAGGAGATCGATCGACAGAGGATGCTACTACAGCAGTCCTCGGCTAGACACTCACTCCCAAACGCCACATCACCTCCACTAAGAACTTGGTCTCGGCCAAATCAAAGTTCAATCCCCATCCGACAACCCACTCAACCTTATCCAGCTCGATCACCATCACAAGCAACTACACAAGCAACTATACAAAACCTAAACCGACCCCTTCCTCACCATCCCACCCAACCCTCGAAGCAAGGAAGCCCTGCTCCATTAGGTATCAACACCTGTCATGTATGCAAGGGTATCGGCCATTGGGCCAGAGACTGCCCCAGCAGGAGGGTAGACCCTCTTAGCTCTCGACCCATGGGACCAAAGGTTATGGTCACCACAGCAGACCCCTTCGAGGAGGCCACTGACTCAGGAGATGGCCACACAGGCAGCACTGAGATGGGTGACCCCAAGGCCATGGACCTCAGCTCATACCAGCAACCCATGGACCTCGACCATGAGGAGGAGGAGCATGATGATGATGACGATGAGGGAAACGTCAGTGGGGTGATGCACTGATGGCATGCATTGCTCTACAAACCTCCTCGCCATCACTCTGTATATATCAAGATTGTCAAGTATGTTTCTCTACCAGTGGAGGCAAAGCAGTACTGGAGCTCTCTGGAATGGTTCAAGACCATCCTGCTCGGATACTAGCTGATACCGGTGCTGGTTTGTCCATAGTCTCAGATTCTTTCATTAGTAAGTACCAAATACCCACAAAACCCATAAAAACAAGATCGATCCATGGTGTCACCGGGCACCAACTCTCCATCAATAGTTCTGCGAGCATGCAGGTATCTATTGGTACACACAATCTGGGTGTGGTCGAAGCTTCAGTAGCCGACACTGCTGACTATGACCTCATCCTGGGGTTCACTGAGCTACGGAGGCTCAAACCCACCATACAATGGGATACGGGCCAGCTGGAGTTCAAGACTCAGGAGCAGGACCGACCCCCAAGGAGACCCCCTGAGGCAGCAAGAGCAGGGGACCTAACCATGAGGAGACCAACCCTTCATGGTAACGAGTTTGTCTCAGCAGAGCGCATACTACGAGCAGCTCTGGAAGATGGACCCATAGGGTTCATGCTGTTGGAGGAGCCACCATCATCACTCCCGGCCTTTGGTTTTGTACCTACAGGCGCAGACAAAGGAGTCGAGATGGAGGTAGAGGTAGATAAGGTGGTGACAGCTGCAGACATACCAAAGCCATACCAACACCTGCAAGATGTGTTTGATGAGGTGGAAGCAGACAAGCTGCCCCATCATACCGAGCATGATCTCCACCTCGAGTTGATAGAAGGAGGGAAGCCACCTCAAGGGCCCCTATACCTTAAGGGACCCAAGGAGATGTCCGAGTTGAGGAGGTACTTGGATGAGAACCTCGAGAAGGGGTTCATAAGACCATCGAAGAGCCCGGCACGATCACCAGTGCTCTTCGTACCAAAGAAGGATGGAGGTCTCAGACTCTGTGTGGACTACAGAGGTCTCAACGAGATCACTGTCAAGAACAGGGCACCATTGCCCCTCATCGAGGAGCAGCTGTTCTTGCTCAGGAAGGCAAGGATCTATACCAAGCTAGACCTTAGAGCAGCATACAACCTCATCCGGATTGCTAAAGGAGATGAATGGAAGACAGCTTTTGGCACTCAGTTGGGACTCTATGAGTACCTAGTGATGCCCTTTGGCCTAGCCAACGCTCTGGCTCACTTCCAGTCATTCATCAATGACATCTTCCGAGACATCATTGGGATATATGTGGTGGTATACTTAGATGACTTCCTGATCTTCAGTGACACTGAGGAGGTACATGTGAAGCATGTCACCGAGGTCCTCACTCGCTTAAGGAGCAACAGGCTCTTTGCGAAGCTGTCGAAGTGTGAGTTCCACACCAAGACAGTCAAGTTCCTGGGGTACATCATCAAGCCAACAGGCATAGAGATGGACCCAGAAAAGGTGCACACTGTCAAGGAGTGGCCAATGCCAGAGTCAATCCATGACATCCAGAGGTTCCTGGGTTTTGCCAACTTCTATCGAAGGTTCATAGCCCACTTTGCTCGCATAGCCAAGCCCTTGACAGCATTGGTAAAGCCTATAGAACGGTTCAAGAAGTTCGAGCTACCAGAGGAGGCCCAACAGGCCTTCCACAATCTCATCCAGGCATTCACATCAGCAGGAGTGCTTCAGCACTTCGACTACCACCTTCCAACAAGGTTGGAGACTGATGCAAGTGACTTTGCTATAGCAGGAGTACTCAAGCAGGAGCATGAAGGACGATGGCATCCAGTGGCTTTCTACTCTAGGAAGATGTCTTCTGCCGAGAAGAACTATGAGATCCATGACAAGGAGCTCCTAGCTGTGGTCGCCTGCCTCACTCAGTGGCGACACATGCTAGCTGGACTACCAAGCCAACTGGTCATCCTCACTGACCATGAAGCCCTCAAGTATTTCAAGTCACAGAGACGCATCACAGGTCAACAGGCTCGATGGGCAATACTACTAGCAGACTTCGACTTCATATTGCAGTATCGACCAGGAGACAAAGGTGGTGAACCCGATGCTCTCACCAGAAGGACAGACATGCAACCAGCTGGTGAAGAGCAGGATCACAATGTGAGGCAACTACTGCCTCCTCGAGTGTTCAAGGAGACAGCAGACCATGACTCGCTCCTAGTGGCCCCCATGACCTCGATGGAGTCCATAGCACCAAAAGGTCTCAGAGACCTGGTCAAGATCTTCCAGCCCTTAGACCAAGAGCTACAGGAGATACATAGTGTCAGGGGTCTCGCGCCTGAAACCCAGGTCGGTCTGTCGAGATACTTGGTGACTATCAAACTGTGCGACAGCTATTGTCTCGGTATCGGTGACTATCAAGTTGTGCAGTGACAGCAGGTGGCGTTCGTTGTATATACTATCGTAGGTTTCGGCTGACCTCTGTGGACACTCCGTTCAGGGGTAGCTCGGCACGATCAATATCAATGTTATGATGACACCAAGGTCTGGTGTGAGTGTTGATGATGATGAGGTTGATGGTGTTGGTGATGAGATTGGTGATGTCGATGATAATGAGGTTGATGGTATTGGTGATAAGATTGGTGATGTCGATGATAATGAGGTTGATGGTGTTGGTGATAAGGTTGGTGGCATCAACACGAGTGTCCAGTGTGTTGACTTGATGCTTGAAGTGATCCCCGGACCGCAGTGGACTACTGCCTTCGGTTCTATCTTGATCCGGACTGCTAACCTGCTATGGGCGCCTTCGGACATCAGGTAGTGGTGATACAACACACACACTACGATGAGGAGCAACCTTGATAGATTGCTGCTATGCTGACTGAAACTAATGTATACTTATGCTGAAGTGATAACTAGTTATATGGTGAGTAGAGTGGATGGGGATCCACTCGACCTATGATGATGAGAAAGCATGGTTATATACCTCTTCACAGCATCGCCAGCGATGCTGCTCCTGCTCTCTCTCCAGAGAGTACCTTCTTCATCGAGTACTGTTCAGGGGTCAGGGGCCTCTCCTGCTTGGCACCCCTGTGCCTCTTGAGCTGTGTCGACTCCTTCGACACTGCTCCTCCTCCTCAGGACCTGCTTGCCGGTGTCCTATGACTCTTGTCTCTCGAGCCCCTGAGTGGTAACCATCTGAGCTTGGTCCTCTTCGTGGCTGTGCCTCTCCTTGAGCTTGGTCCTCCTCGTGGCTGTGCCTAGCCCTCCTCGCATATGGGCTCAGTGCTCCTTTGCATGTGAATCCATAGGAGTCCATGGTCTCCATGGAGACTGCACTACGACCATGCTCTCTACTGGTATCGACTAGGTCTTCGATACCTGTGCTCCTTCCATATGAACCAGTGACCCTCCTGCTTCTTGAGCATCCAGGCCCATGACAGTAGGTCATTAGCTAGGGGTAATCCCACCTCTGGGAAGTGCAACACAGATGTATATATAGCACACTGAGAGCACTAAGCTATCAACACTTCCCTCTAGTCAATCGAGTATATATGTTTCTGCCTTAAAGAAGTAGTGACATTGTACTTAGACTCTCCCCGATTGCCAGTATCAGGATCGAAACTTCTTCAAACTTCAACAACTACTTGCTTAGGGGGTATCAAAGTTTTTGCATTTTTAAAAATGCGGGTTTTTTGAAAAGCGCATTTTTGGAGCAAAGTTGAACCCCCCATTTAAGGAAAAGCGGGTTTCCAAAAATGCGATGAAATCATACAGCCGATAAAATACGTATCCTAAAAGTAAGCATATGAAGCATGAATCATACGGCCGATAAGAGATGTAACCTAACAATAAGCATATGAAACATGATGTGGCACCTATCTTCTCCACCTCGGGTATCAGATAGCCGGTGTGCCGATGCCGATGGCGATGATCAGGCCTGACGCATGCCGATACGCGGGACTGGCTTCGACAACTTGCTATGGATCCGAGTGTGTAAAGGTGGCGAAGGTGTGAGATCGAAGTAGTGCTCACATCCTTTCACTGTTGTGGAGTGAACTCGTTTTGCGTTTTTGAAAACGCACGAAAAAGCCGTGTTTTCAAAAACGCAGTTTTGTTTTTCGTTTGGCGCAGCTTATGTAAGCTTTTGCGTTTTTTATGAGTTGAGGGAGTTGAAGTAGATAAAGCTACACAAAGCCTAGAGACAGCGAGGGTAATGTTTACGGCCGAGTGAAAGGCCTGAACATCTTAGCACGGACCACATGTGTCACAACCTACTCAAGACAAATGCTTTGTTATGTTCTGCAGTCAATGTGGCTCTCCGCCGCTCTTCTTTTGTATATATACAGACTCCTCGCTCTCTCGCTCTCTGTCTCTTACCATTATCATCCATGCAGAAAAATCAGATTCCTCAACTGATTAAGAGTCTGAAGCTCAGCAGCTTCTAGCACCTCGCCACCAGGATGCCACCAAGAGTAGATAGCGTAGCACTACTCGAACGCACCATGCAGATGATCAGGGAAACTCACACCAACTGGGACGAAGACCAAGTCTTGGAGCGTGCCTTCTCGCTAATAAACCTCCAACCCAACACCAACCAAGCAGAGAAGATCCCCAAGTCAGTGCTCAGCATCATCTCGCAAATCGTCAAGCTCAACGAGAACAACTGGGCCATCTGGGAGCCGATGTTCATGGACTGCATCCGCCCAATCAAGAACGCCAAGCAGATCCTCACTGAGGAGATTCCCAGTGGCCATACCGACTATGATGAGGAACTAGACAGCCACTTGCTGGGTCTCATCTTGTCCTCCTGTGACCACGGACCCACCAGCCGTATCAACACCTACACCGTGCGGGAGCAAGGTGAGGAGGAGCAGCTCGGCTCTACACTCTACAAGAAGCTCAAAGCCGCTCTCACAATAAACGACGAAGTTAAGCTCTCCGCCATTCACGACTGGGTACATGAAGTCAAGCTAGCCCAGCGCAACATTGCCAACCTTGGTAAGGAGCTCGATCAAATCTGGAATGACGCAGCCAGGCTCGGTAGCCGCATGGACGAAAAGCTCAAGAAGTCTACCCTGTACCGCTGCGTCAAAGACGACTGGCTCTACACCCAGACAGTAGACTCCCTCAAAGCTGCTCAACCTGGTTGCAGCTATGAGTATGCCTATCATGCACTAGCTAAGAAGCACCAAGAAGCCGAGCTCTCAGGTCGTATCCGAGCCACGGCCAGAGCCACAAGCAATAGAAGTTCAACAGGCCAAGCTGGCAAGCATAGGCAGGTTCTTAACCAAGAGGGCTACAATAGGGGCAGGCGCGACCCCGCAAACCCTAATGAACCGGCCAAGTGCTATAGGTGTAGGCAACCTGGGCACATTGCCATCAACTGCACCAACAGTCAGGAGCAAACTCCTACTCAGCAGGGATAGGGACTCGGGTGCACCTTTTTCATAAGCAACACTGGCAACCGCAAACAAGACAGTACGTGGATTCTCGACTCTGGAGCTACACATCACATGGTACATGATGAGGGTAAGCTCATTGCTCCGACACCGAAGCAAGGATCCGTAGATACTGCTGGACATGAACGGTTGCGAGTACAGGCAATAGGCGACGCAACTTTGCGAGTAAGAGACGTTAAGATACCACTCACTGACGTACTTCACGTTCCCAACCTTAGCAAGAACCTATTGTCCATCCCAGTGCTGATTGAAAATGGTGCACGTGTGATATTTGAAGAGTCTGGAGCTACTATCCTCCAGCATGATGGGAGCATGGTCAAGAGCAAGACCAACTGGCACAAGAAGAGATGGGAGGTTTACGGTGACTCCCTAGCAGCACAGCTCAATGATCCCCTAGAGGGCATTGATGCTACCACAACACCAGCAAAACCAGCGAGCCACATGATGAGCAAGCTATGGCACGAACGATTCGGTCATCCTGGCAGGAACAAAACCAAGCAAATCCAGGCCCACTACTTAGGAAAAGAAACACAGCTTGGACATGACGCAAGGGATTGCAACTGTTGCAGCCAAGCAAAGCAAACACGCGCAAGAATGACAAGTAGCAAAACAGAGCGAGCCCAGGCACCCCTGGAGCTGGTACACATTGACTTGATGATGGACCTGAAAGGCCATCCCAACTACCACCATGCACTGGTAGTTGTAGATGACTCGTCATCCTATGTATATGTGAAACCACTCCTCAGCAAGGCCGAAGCATTCCCCGCCCTAAAGGCATGGATCAAGGCAGCAGAGATAGCAACGGACCACATGCTAAAGTGCATCTGCAGCGACAACGGAACAGAGTGGTCCAGCTTTGGAGCAGAAGAATGGAAACGAGAAGCAGGGTTCAAGTGGCAGAAAACCACACCTTATGTCAGTGCCCAGAATGGGAGAGCAGAGCGCATGATCAGATCCCTTCAAGAAAAGATGCGTGCAATGCTTGTCCAGAGATCGGTACCAAAGGAGCTGTGGCCCTACGCCATCATGGCTGCAGGGCACACACTGAACTTGACACCCTCTACCGAAGCAAATAGGATTCCATACGAGGACTTCCACCGCAAGTCTGCGCATGGCTTGGCCAAGCAGCTGCGTGTCTTTGGCTGCCTTGCTTGGGTCCACCTCCCCAAGAAGGATCATACAGGAAAGCACGGCGTAAGAGCAATCCCAGGAATCATGGTCGGCTACGATGACGAGCACAAGGGCTGGAAATTCTTTACCCCCGGCCACACCCCATCTATATGGTGGAGCAACTCAGCCACATTCCATGAAGCCAAAGGTTGGCATGATCGCCCCAGTGTGCAGAGCCCACTGCAGTTCGGCTTCGAGAGCCTCGAAGCAGAAGATACTAGACCCGAGACAGATAGCGACAAGCCCGAATTGGAGGTGGAAGTACTCGACATGGAGGACCCACTTCCCAAAATACACACTGCACTGCACGCCGACCCTATAGATGACAACAGGTCGGAGCTCGATGTTGAAGAGATAATTGGAGAAGCACACACAGCCACCCTGAACCTCACACCGACCTTAAAGGAAGCACTTGCCAGCGATGATGCACAACAATGGCAGGAAGCCATACGCAAGGAGCTGGACGGACTTGAGGCAATGGGAACATGGGAGATTGTGGATGTTCCACCAAACACTAGACTTGTCGACTCCAAAATAGTCCTTCGGCTCAAATTGGATGCCGATGGCATACCAGTCCGGCACAAAGCGAGACTCGTCGCACGGGGCTTCACACAGCGGGAGGGTATCGACTTCGAAGAAACCTTTGCGCCTGTGGCACCGCTCAGCGCAATAAGAGCCCTGTTATCTTTGGCAGTGGAGCGCAACTGGGAAGTCCATCAGCTTGACATCACAATGGCTTACCTCAACTCCACGCTCAACCATGTGATCTACATGAAACCACCAGAAGGTGCCAAAGTGCCGAAAGGGAAAGCCTACTGAGTCATCAAGGGACTGTATGGCCTTAAACAGTCGGGACGGGAATGGAACATGGAGTTTGATAAGTTCCTGCAACGCTCAAACTTCCACAGGCTCGACTGCGCACCATGCATCTACACTAGAGGAGAAGGAGATAACTTTGCAATAGTGGTCATCTATGTTGACGACATGCTAATTATAGCTCCAACCCTAGAAACAGTAAGGCGTATCAAGGAGGAAATAGGCCAAAGATGGCGGATGGAGGATGGTGGCAATGTCTCCCACTTCCTCGGGATCAAAATCACCAGGGATCGAGAAGCGAAAACCATGGACCTCGAGCAAACTAGTTATGTTAAGCAGCTTCTGGATGAACATTTGGACAAGCGCAGAAGGAAGTCTAGTGTACCACTCCAAGACATTCCAGTCCCAGAAATGGCAGCAAGCATAGCAGAACGAAAGGAGTACCCACAGATTGTCGGCAAACTCCTGTGGTTGTCTAATGGAACACGTCCAGACATCAGCCAAGCCGTCAGCGTCCTTGCACGCTATATGACACAACCATCAAGGGAGCACTACAACGCTGCACAGAAAGTACTCCAATATTTGGACTACACATGAGATATCCGCTTACAATATGGCAGCAACAAGCAACAAGACTTTCTGACGGTGCACAGCGATGCAAACTGGGCAAGCGACGCTACAGCACAATGCGAAAGCTCATCTGGTTCAGCAGTGTTTGTATGTGGCAACCTGGTAGCATGGAAATCAGCACTACAGTGCTGCACCACCTTATCGGCGGTGGAAGCAGAATTTGTAGCTGCGACAGAAGCCGCACGAGAGGTCCTGTTCTTCAAACACCTCTTCAAGGCCGTTGGAATTGATGTTGGTATCCCTACAATCTTTTCAGACAACACTGGTACCATCCAGGTTAGCAAGGACCCCGCGCAACACTGGAAGTTAAAGCACATTGACACCAAATACCACTTCATCAGAGACAATGTGCAAGATGGAAAGGTCAAGATCAAGTACATTAACACTGCAGATAACTTGGCAGACCTCTTTACCAAACCGGTGGGAAAGACTATACTACAGCGCGCGCGACAGGGACTGGGACTAAAAGCCCAGCATGATGCAGTGGCTCGGCAGTCTCCTGCCTTGCCACTGAGGGAGGCAGTTGAGGGAGTTGAAGTAGATAAAGCTACACAAAGCCTAGAGACAGCGAGGGTAATGTTTACGGCCGAGTGAAAGGCCTGAACATCTTAGCATGGACCACATGTGTCACAACCTACTCAAGACAAATGCTTTGTTATGTTCCGCAGTCAATGCGGCTCTCCGCCGCTCTTCTTTTGTATATATACAGACTCCTCGCTCTCTCGCTCTCTGTCTCTTACCGTTATCATCCACGCAGAAAAATCAGATTCCTCAACTTTATGAAAAACGCGCTCTGCAAAAAACCCGCGTTTTTAAAAACGCAAAAACTTTGATACCCCCTCTTGTTCGTGTGCGTATCGCCAAAATCGGAAGAGTCGATCGGATCGGGCAAAGTGTTGGTTGCGTGTGGTGCGTGTATGTGGAGGCTCAGTTTTGGTCGACAATATACCGCCACCATCACCACCACCATCACCGCCACCATCACCGCCACCATCACTGCCAGCATCACTGCCAGCACTGATTGCGCTCCTACCCTCCCTTCCAACAACTGCATCGCACAATTTGATTCCAATGCTTCCTCCTACGCTCAACCCCGGTTCTTCTCCTGCCTCTCCCGTCGTGTCCACTCCGCCACATGACGCGCCGTCTTTGCCGAGCCTGCCAGGCTTGCCCGCATCACCACAAAAGAAGCTCCTTTATGATACACTCAAGAAGCCATTCGATGATCAGGATTTCAGCGTCATATTTTGGCTTCAGGCGCTCAAAGCAGCAGCCCTGCCCAATACTGATCGCAAGACACGTGTAAAAAGTCTCGACTTCTTTCTCGATCACGCATACTTTGATCGGCTCATCAATGAGCTCAAATCCATAGCCGATCGGCTTCCGGAAAAGTTTGTCCATAGCTTCTTGCACGTTTCCGGCTCCGGAGCCGATCCCTCTGCAAGTCTCAGAGATCGGTTCGACGCCAAAACTCTCTTGACACGCATCGAGAAATGCGCCTTCTTTCAACCTACCTTCGACCCTGTCGACCGCCTTGCACATGTCTTGCAGTATGCTTTCATCCCAGGTCCCCTTCGTATGCCCAGCCCTCCGGCCCGTGCGCCTCTCTACGACTTTACCTCCACCTTCAACGGTCAAGCTCTCGAAAGACTTGTCGACTACATCAAGGTACACAACCAGCTCTTTCCCCCTTCCTCATCATCTCCGCCTCCCGTGCATGTCGCCCGTCTTGAGAACTCTCCCCCTTTAGCCGACCACACTCACCACCAACAGCATCAGTCCGTGCCCGAGCAGACTCGCAAGCATCATTGGTCCCTGCCCGAGCAAACTCGCAAGTACTATGCCAAGGTGCTCTCCATAATCCAGTCCTCAGGCTTTGGCAAAACCAGGCTCTGCGTCCAACTCAGCACCGTCAGTCCCGGTATGCTCGTTTGTCTCAGAGAAAGCTCTCTCCTCACACAAAACTATGCTGTCTCGGAGCCCCCGCAGGACAAGCCAGTCTATGACTACTTTCAACGCATCAAGCGACTCCTCCCTGGGTCATTAGAAACCAAGGATCAGCCCCATCCCACGCCCAAAGGCGACCAAGAACACATGAGGTTCAACCAAGCACACCTCTCCATCCTCGCTTGGCTTTCCGTCTACTGCCAGACTACAGCCTATTACCTGATCCAGCTCCAACATGCCTCTGGTTGCTTTGACCCGCCTGCTCACCACCAAGATCCTGCCGCGTGCTGGCGTGCCGTCGTCTTCTACTATGCCCGAACTACCGGCTTGAAAGAGGGCTCGCTCTTCGAGACTCCCTCTAACATCTGCCACCAGAGCCGCCTCCCACATGTCTGTTCCACAGACATACCTCCTAGCACCGACAATCCGCTCACTCACGTCCACCCCGCCAACCAAGCCGCCGATCCTCCGCCTAGCCTTTTGGCAACCCCGCGAGTTCGTGAAAAGATCCTTGATTACATCTGTGAAACGGCCACCACTCTCGCGTCAACCATGAAGGGACAGTACTCTTGCCAATTGTCTGATCATGAGTTGCTCACCCATGCCATTCGAGATCATCTCAAGCCTCGCCTCCAATTAGTGGAGCATCTCCTTCGCAACGCTGACCCTAACTCGTTCTTTTTCCTCGCATTGGACGAATGCAGTAGCATGGATACATTGCTGCCATACATACGTCGAGTGTGGTTCCATGCCATGCCAGAGACCACGTGGATCCTCCTCATCGACACTAACTCGGATCTGGCACCGCTCGCCGGCAAGGAAGCTCGTCAAGGCTCGCGACGCATGTCAGAATTCGACACGCATTGTCTCACCCAGGCGTTTTCGGCGATGCCTCTCGACCTCAACTTGACTAGTCAACATCTTCGCACGCTCTCCCCCTCGGGTACCTGCCAACTGACCATGCGAGATCTCGACGCATTCCTTCCTCGCTTCGGACGACCGCTGTGGATGGACTCACGCTATCACAGCGACGGGTTCATCATGCCCACGACCATCTTCAGGAAACTAGTCTTGCCGAGCGAGTGGACGTGGCCGGAGGTATTGCAAGACATCCAGCCCGATCCGCTCAACGAAACCAATCAGAATCTGATCGCGCTTGCCTCCCGACGCCTTCACCTCGACCTGTCGAGCAAAGCTGGCCCGCAGCATTGGTACCACTTTGTCTCTCGCCAGATTGCTCACCACCTGCGCTTCGTCGGTCGAATCTATTCCACCTCGGACTCGATCAAGTCGGGTACACCTAGTGAAGCACCTCTTAGCCTTGCCGTTGCTTGGAGCGTTCGATCCAAGCCCGAACTTGTAGCTGTCAAGTGGTCCATGATGGTGCAGGCTATTATCCATGCCAGTGCACCCGTTGGTCTCAACGTGGGCGCTCAAGGCGAGCTCGGCGTCGCTCTCCTATCCACCATGGCCATCGACCTGGCTATGAGCCAGAGGTACTCAAATCACCTGCGTTACTACATTTCCTCATGGCCTGTTCCCTCGGCCGAAGCCAAGTATGCCGCGCTCTACGGCCTGGTCAGTGTCCACGACTGGCTTTGCACTCTTACCGGCTCCAAGTATGTAGAGTGTGCACCAGCAGTCAGCGGGTCCAGCAGCGGCTACCCTGGAAGTGAGGATGGCGACCAAGTCATGGCGGATCAAGACCAAGCCGATCAAGGCTTGCCGTCGCAACTGGCTTCGTGGGCCCGACGCGCATGGCTCAACTTTACGCATTCCGCCGTTCTGCCCAATCAGATACCGCATAACCGTCGCATTGGGACAGATTTGCTTTTCGAGCTCTGGATCCGTCACGCCACAGCGCAAGGCGTTAGCAATCAAGTTGGATGGGATTTGCTCATACCCGTTTATGAGTCTCACAGCGACCAGCCTCCGAACGGCGCTGACAAGTTTGACGAGACCAAGTTGTCGTACATTGCTATCCAAGTAAAGAACTGCATCAACCGACCTACCCGAGAGGTCAAAGAGGCGGCAGTAGGGCCCCGTCTTGCTGTCAACCAAGAGAAGCAGTGCCTCGAGCTCTTCTTTGATCTCAAGGGCCCAGAATCTTGCCGCGGTCACGAGTACTCGCAGCGACGTCATCCAACCCGAGCATCCAACAAGCAGCGGGCGCCCAAGATGAAAGAGCAAGAGGAAGAAGATGCAAAGAGTCGTCTTCTGCTGCGACATCACGTGTTCATAAGTGGTCTCACACCTGAAGGCTTACCATTGCTGAAGCAGCTCCAGGGCCCCGCCGCTAAGCAGGTGAGCTTGCTATTTGGCGATGCAGATTCGCTTGACACGGTCGAGTTCGACGAGACGCATGCCAACTACGTCCGCCGCTTACCATCGGAAGAGCATCGCAGAACTTGGGATGAAGCACAGACGTGCGTGGAAAACAGACTGATGTTCTTTCGTCATCTTTGTTGACGTGATTGATTTTGACACTGATCGAGTCGGAGCTGGACCAGTCAATAGCTTCTGCACTGTTATCTCATTGCTGGTGAATGATGGACGAGAAAGAAGATTGAAAGCAAATAAGATTGTGATATATGCATGTCGCCACCAACGCTCAGCCATTCGCTGTCAACTCATCTTGAGAAAACACACATCAGCCAAAAGGAATGGTAGTTGGTTGACGTCTTCCAACGTCATCGCTACTCTGATTCAGGCCCAGGCAATCGAAACAAAACAAAATACTAAAACAAGACTGTGATGGTGCAGATGACAGCGACCAACCGATGGTGATGCAACAAGGCATGCAAGAAAAGAAAATGGCAGTTCAATAACTGACTGTCCAACTTGGCGTCCAAGTAAAGCTACTCGTGCAAGAGAGGGTTATCGAATTGGAAATTCGAATCATTTTCAAGAAATTGGAATTGCCAATTTGGATTTGGGTATTCCTTGCAATTTTCCATTTTTGACCTCAAATGCAGACACGTGTCTCTTTCCTCTCTCGTGGCTAACTACTCACAAAGGTAATGATCAAACATGACAATGGAAGGTGACGCAAGCCAATGGTGGAGGAATCAGGACAAACTGATCTGATCAGAGATTCAGGGGGACTGATCTGGGAAGAGATCAGGTACAACACAGTCCTGCCAGTTGTCATGGTAGGTCATTAGCTAGGGGTAATCCCACCTCTGGGAAGTGCAACACAGATGTATATATAGCACACTGAGAGCACTAAGCTATCAACACTCCCTCTAGTCAATCGAGTATATATGTTTCTGCCTTAAAGAAGTAGTGACATTGTACTTAGACTCTCCCCTATTGCCAGTATCAGGACTGAAACTTCTTCAAACTTCAACAGGTTATGAGCCCAAATAGCCCTACCACATCCTCGAACACACCTTCAATGATGTCTAACATAGACTACTCGATCTATGACAACTTCGTCGACTCCATGCAGGATCTCCTCCCACGCCTGCCAACAATAGTCCAGAACCATTTGTCATGGGCCTGGATGCGCAAGAGGTAGGAAGAACCATCATGTCATGGGCCTGGATGCTCAAGAAGCAGGAGGGTCACTGGTTCATATGGAAGGAGCACAGGTATCGAAGACCTAGTCGATACCAGTAGAGAGCATGGTCATAGTGCAGTCTCCATGGAGACCATGGACTCCTATGGATTCACATGCAAAGGAGCACTGAGCCCATATGCGAGGAGGGCCAGGCACAGCCACGAGGAGGACCAAGCTCAAAGAGCAGGCGCAGCCACGAGGAGGACCAAGCTCAGATGGTTACCACTCAGGGGCTCGAGAGACAAGAGACCATGGACTCCTATGGATTCACATGCAAAGGAGCACTGAGCCCATATGCGAGGAGGGCCAGGCACAGCCACGAAGAGGACCAAGCTCAGATGGTTACCACTCAGGGGCTCGAGAGACAAGAGTCATAGGACACTGGCAAGCAGGTCCTGAGGAAGAGGAGCAGTGTCGAGGGAGTCGACACAGGTCATGAGGAGGAGGAGCAGTGTCGAAGGAGTTGACACCACTCAAGAGGCACAGGGGTGCCAAGCAGGAGAGGCCCCTGAGCAGTACTCGATGAAGAAGGTACTCTCTGGAGAGAGAGCAGGAGCAGCATCGCTGGCGATGCTGAGAAGAGGTATATAACCATGCTTTCTCATCATCATAGGTCAAGTGGATCCTCATCCACTCTACACTCACCATAACTAGTTATCACTTCAGCATAAGTATATATTAGTTTCAGTCAGCATAGCAGCAATCCATCAAAGGTTGCTCCTCATCGTAGTGTGTGTGTTGTATCACCACTACCTGACGTCCGAAGGCGCCCATAGCAGGTTAGTGGTCCGGATCAAGATAGAACCGAAGGCAGTAGTCCACTGTGGTCCGGGGATCACTTCAAGCATCAAGTCAACACACTGGACACTCGTGTTGACGCCACCAACCTTATCACCAACACCATCAACCTCGTTATCATCAACACTCACCAACCTTATCACCAACGTCATCAACCTCATCATCATCAACACTCACACCAGACCTTGGTGTCATCATAACATTGATATTGATCGTGCCGAGCTACCCCTGAACAGAGTGTCCACAGAGGTCAGCCGAAACCTACGATAGTATATACAACGAACGCCACCTGCTGTCACTGCACAACTTGATAGTCACCGATACCGAGACAATAGCTGTCGCACAGTTTGATAGTCACCGAGTATCTCGACAGACCGACCTGGGTTCAGGCGCGAGACCCCTGACAGTACTCTCTGGAGGGAGAGAGCAGGAGCAGTGTCACTGGTGACACTGCGAAGAGATATATAGTCATACCTTCTTGTCACAAATGGTCGAGTGGATCCTCATCCACTCTACACACATCATAACAACTAGTATTACTTTAAGCATAAGTATCATTAGTTTATAGTCAGTATAGTAGTAATCAATAGATTGCTCCTCATCAAAGCATGTGTGTTGTATCACCGCTCCCTGATGTCCGAAGGCAGTTCTTAGCAAACCAGCAGTCCAGATAATGATAGAACCAAAGGCAGTCATCCACTGTGGTCCAGGGATCACCTCAAGCATTAGTCGACACACTGGACACTCATGTCAACATCATCAATCCATACTCACACCAGACCATTGGTGTCAACATCAAGTTCACTTAGAGTCATAATGTATTTTGATTGTGCCAAGCTACCTCTGGACAGAGTGTCCACAGTGGTCAGTCGAAATCTGTCATAATGTCAATACAACTACAGATTCCAATGAGAAAAGTGACAGAGATGGCTCTGTTGCATATTTCACTAGGAATCGAAATACCATTAGCACTGTCACATAACTTGACAGAATTGGTGATAGTATCAATACTACCACAGATCTCAGGTTTCAGGCGTGCGACCCCTGACATCCGGCTCCTATGACAAGGGGTCTGTAAGGGACTTCCAACACATGCTCAGACAGGCCGTCTGGAACATTGTAGAGAGGTTTCGGTTACTTACCTATGACCAACAACTCACTTGTAAGCGAGTATGTCGGAGAGCTTGAGACGGCAGTGGTTCGGAAGCAAGGACATTGTCAACGACCAACTCGGTTTCCGGACTGGGCAATCATATGAGAAATTATTCACGTGACGCGTCTCAATTACTAAGCATGAGCTCATCCAGCCGCGGCCCTCGGAACCGGCTGATACAGTGAGATCCGTGAGCAGCTTGCAGAGGCCGAGTGCGGCGTGGACGTTGCTACCGAAACCTCACTACAGTACCAACACCATCGTACTTTGGCAGCCAGCTCAATACGGCATCAATCTAAGGAGCTCAACATGGCGCCACAAGCATCCGTCTCCTACATATCGGCGGCGTTCAACCGCGCCAATCACATTGCTGATTGGGCCGATGCTCCTCATAGCATTGTCGCATATGCTGCCAACAAGTCGATTGCCATCTGGGACAAGCCAGGACACCCTTCCTCTCCTGGAGTGACTCAGCTTCTCGCGACAGGATTCTGCAAATCGATCACATCGCTCAAGCTTGCAGACTTGCCATCTCTATCATCATACCCATGCATCGTCGCTGGATCAGCCGAAGGATCGATAGCTATTTGGACACTTCGCGAGGACGGAAAATGGGCAAAAGTGCATATGATCAAAGGAGCGCATCAGGGATCTGTCTCGGCTCTTGGAGTTGTTCGCTCTCACGCGACACTATCGCTGGGATCTGTGGTCGTTTCGGGTGCTTCTGATGGTCTGCTCAAAGTGTGGTCGCTTTCGGCTCATCGATCACAGGCTCCTTCGGTGGTGCAAACTATCGATCTGAAAGGTCGTTTCCCTCTCGATCTCTCATTGCTTCCATTACCGAGCACACAAATCGATGCGCAGTCCTCACTTCATTTGCTGATGGCTTTGGCCACTACCACCAACAAGATCGATATTTATGCATCCGGCACCGCGTCGAAGGACAACGCCGAGTTTTGCGAATTCCAGCACAAGCTATCGCTCGAAGGTCACGAGGACTGGGTCAAGTCGCTTGACCTCTGCACCACATTCACCGACGCTGATTCGGACCACAACATCGATACCGTCATGCTCGCCAGTGGGTCCCAGGATGCCAGCGTGAGGCTGTGGAAGATTGCTCCAGCACAGCAGGATCAGGCGTCGTCAGCTCAGCAATCACCAACAAGTTCCAGCAAGGGCGACAACTTTGAAGAGATGGTTTCAAAGATCGAATCGGACAGAAGCACAAAGGCTGGTGAAATTTCTACTCGTGCCCATCCTTTCTCTGTCACAGGTCAAGGTGGATCAACTCAGACTTGGGTTGTTACCTTCGACGCTTTGCTTGTTGGACACGGCAACTGGGTCACCGGTGTTCAATGGCATCCAGCTGTGATATGCAAAAATGGTAAAGCACGGCAGCAACCAGCTGCACTTCTTTCTTCTTCCGCTGACAACAGTCTCATCTTGTGGACTCCCTATGGACCATCTTCTGACGCATCTTCCAACTCACCCTTCCCTGCCTTTGATGGTGCCCTTCTCTCCACTGGAGGCGCACGACGTGCCCGTGGTCCGACCTCTCATCATCTCGCCTCCTCTGTTTGGATGCCATCTCAACGTTTTGGTGAGGTTGGTGGGGCTAGTAACCTTGGGTTCTTTGGTGCACTCTGGATGCTGCCTGCATCTTCCATTTCGGCTGCAATTGATCCACAACAGCCCATATCCAGTGTTATTGCCCATGGCTGGGGTGGTTCTGCACACATCTGGACCCTTGCCGCGCAAAAAACAGCTTCATCATCATCTTCTCAGCCACAGTGGCGAGTAACAGATCCAGTCACAGGTCACTTTGCATCTGCCAGATCCGTCGCTTGGGAACCTTGCGGAGAATACCTACTCAGCTGTTCCGATGACCAGACCACACGACTGCACGCTCGACCCATGCAGAGGCAAGGCCAATCGCTCAACGTAGATTCAGCGACCTGGCACGAGGTCGCACGTCCACAGTCGCACGGCTACGACCTCCACTCGGTCTCTTGGCTCGATCGACTCAATTTCGTCTCCGCCGCCGATGAGAAGGTTCTACGTGTATTCTCGGCTCCTCGTGGGTTTGTTGGTACGGCAGGCAGGAATGGACTCCTTTGTGCGACTCTAGGATCCGAACAGGAGTCGAGGTCAGCCTCTCGTCCTGTTACTGGAAGAAATGCTCTGCTCCATCTCGAGATCGATGAGGCAGCAGGCTTGCTCGAGTCAGCAAAGAGGCACGGCGACTTGATTAAGCAGGCTGTGGAGAAATGCTGCCACCAGCAGAGTGATTCTGTCACGGCTATCGTTTCGTCTAGCCGTTTCGAGAAGCCTTTCAAGGGTCTCAGCTTCAAGAATATCGAGCTATACCTCAAATGGCTTTACGGACAGGCATGGGCTGTTGCCATCCAACGTGGCCTCATGCTCGCCAACATCACCGTGCTCTTGGTCCCAGATACTTCGCTCGACAACGTTGCTCGCCGCTTGAGCTCATCCGATGCGGAGGTTCTGCAAGATGCGACCATGAGTCAGGGCTCGGTGGCTACTTGGCAGCAACTTGGTATCAGGACCGCGTCGTTGGACTCCAACCTGACTTTGAAGGAGGACCACGAGGCTGTTGGTCAGGACGATGGGAAAGGTCTAATTACCTATCCTGTTGCGGCTCTTGGCGGCACGTTTGATCATCTTCACGTCGGACACAAGATTCTGCTCACCATGGCATCACTCATTGCCCAACGCAAGATTATTGTCGGTGTCACTGACGACGCCATGCTCACCAAAAAGTCCAACGCGAGTCTCCTCGAGCCCATCGACGAGCGTATCGCCACTGTCAATGCATTCATCAGTCTCGTCCGCTTGCCTTTCGCGCCTCTCAACCAGTGCGTGGTTAAGCTGGAAGACGTTGCCGGCCCTGCTGCGGCGGAAGCCGATCTGCAAGCGCTCGTGGTCACTGACGAGACACTCTCTGGTGCTGAATTCATCGATGGTAAGAGGAAAGAGAACGGATTGTCTTGCTTGGAGAATTGGGTCATTGGCGTCGTCGGCAGCGAGGGGCAGACCGAACTCAAGGGTGATGCTAAAGCTTTGGCAGAAAGCAAGATCGGTAGCACTGCTATAAGGAAGTGGCTTGCAGAACAGGGACCTCGCCGTGTGCAGGCTTTGGAGACGGTCAAGAGGCATCACGTTTCCTACCAGCTGCGTTTGACGAAAGGAAGCGAAGCAGGAGGGAGACGTAAGTCAGGCTATGACAATGTCCCATCGCGTCCTGTTGGAGCTAGTGTACCTCCTCTCGGTTTGTCGAACAGGGCTGTGTTCGAAGGGTCCACGATCGAAGAAGCGCCCTCGGCAAGTGGACAGCCTATCGGCACGGCCAAAGAGAGTCTTTCTGCTGTCTTGGGTCAGCCTCCTTCTGAGGAACAGCTCTCTGTCGAGACATTGTGGCCCGAGCTGGAAAAGCTGTACGGGCATGGATATGAGCTGCTTTGGGTCAGCGCCAATCCTCCTAACCCAGTGGATGGGGGTCGCACCACCACAGGCGGGCGATTTGTCGCTTCGTGCTGCAAAGCGACCAGTGAAGATCACGCTGTGGTGCGTATCCACGATCGCCATCAGAATTGGAAGGAGTGCGCTGTGCTCCAAGGTCATTCGCTCAGCATCACGCGCGTTCAGTGGAGCATGGACTCGCGCTTTGTGCTGACCTGCTCAAGAGATCGAAGTTGGAGAATGTACGAAAAGGTTGCTGCTTCAGGCGAGGATGGCCAAGTACGCTTTGTGCCTTTTACTGGAGAGCGTTCGCATGCCCGAATCATCTGGGACTGCGCTTGGTCTAGCGATGTATCAAGATGCTATGTTTTTGCGACAGCTTCGAGAGATAAGACGATCAAAATTTTCCAGCTTGAACTCGGGGGAAAGCAAGACGAGAAGCGGTTCAAGTTGTTGCAAACGGTCAAATTCAACCAAGCAGTGACGGCGATTGCTTTCGGAGTCGATCTGGTGCTTGCTATCGGCAAAGAAGATGGTGAGGTGGAGATCTTGCAGCGCAAGGCAAATGAAGATGGTGAAGCAACAGAAGAGTGGGTTACAACGCTCAAGGTGCAAGACATGGCATCAGAGCAAATCAACCAACTTGCTTTCCGACCGCCGGTGCTGGATGATGGCGATGATGCGATTCTTGCTTCTGCTTCTGAAGATGGGATTGTGCGCTTGACAAGAGTTTCTGGCCTGTAGAAGCATCGGGGCGCCTGTCTGCTGTTTGCAATGCAAACCGCTTCCAACTAACTGACTTTGACGGAAGCAGCGAATGATTTCAGAATGAATTCCTGTCTGTGCATGCTGCATCGTGTAAGAGCGACGTCGCCGGTCAAACGAGCACCAAACTCGAAGGTGCAGAACAGAGAGGCTGAAGCACGGGCAATGAAACAAGTTGAAAACGAGAGGATACGAGGCCAAGAATAAGATGCTAGTGTACAAGAAGGGCTGTGAGTGGTGACTGATTGAGGAAGCCAAGTCTAACGACCGTACCTGTCGAGCAAACCAAATGGATTTGATGGAGCGATTCACGGTCAGCATCGATACACAATAGCGAGGCAGACAAGGTATAAATAGAACATACTTTTGAAGTTCCCATTCTCTATTGTCGAGTGGGCATACTTGACGTGTCTTGAGCCACCGCGAGATGCAGTGGAAGTGGAAAGCGTGCTATTGTGGCAAGGATGTGGTTGACAAGTGGGACAGAAGAAAGCAAGTGGTGATAGGTGGCTGAGCACGAATCACTGCGATCCCGATGAGGCGGCGGCAGAAAGGAAACGTACGTTGCATTGACCCCAAGCGACGGTGCATTCTTCGGTGGTCGCTGAGCCCTGGTTGGCTTGACATTCGATGCCTGTCGTTATGAAAACAAGTAGCAAAAGCAAGCAAGACGCCGTCAGCGAGGTGTGAGCGCGAAGAAGGACAGACTTGGAGTGATTCAAGACTTACAAAGGTCCATGATATGATTTCGGCAAATGGCGCACTGCAGGCGTAATCGAAGGCAACAAGAGGTTTGCGAAAGGGGGGGACTGGTAAGTATGGCGTTGTGGTGCTCCTGACCATCACTCTGCCAAAAATGAGCATGTGGTTCCGTTTAAGGTGATTGAGGATTGGTTGTGCTAGCTGTATACCTACGTTGTCAACGACGATGTCCCAAGACCAAAGACACACGGCGTTCCACTGGTGTTTTATAAAATCAAAGCAAGGCAGTGAATGTCAGTGGCGAGTGGCAATGTTGGGAGAAGAGCGCGTGAACATACCTTCTTGACCTGGAATCGTGGCTGCTTTGTGGACGGAGAGTCGACCTCCATTGGCGCGTTCTCGGCCATGTTTGCGTATGTGTCCGAGCTACGGTGAACTGAGATGCTGGAAGCGCCAGAGAGAGCGTGCCTTGGTCGCTAACGGCGAGACTCGAGGACAGAGAAGTGAGCGTTGGAACAGCAAGCAGGTGGAGCAATTTGCCACCCAGTCAGTGCGCGCGCAGTATCGGATCGGGCTCCACCCGATTTTGTCATCTCAGCTTGACTCGCACGGCCGCGCAAATGAGGATCAGTCGGCCGATACAGAAAGAACGTTAGATTGCGGCAAATCAAACACGTGACATCATTTTCACGTCTTTGTAAGATTGTTGCACGTGACATGGCGTGCGCATCTGAGCTCGAGCCACATGTGTCGCAAGCCACTCAATCGACTTGGTTTGCTCCTCACTCCTTGCCATCTTGCCACCATCACCTTTCCATCATCTTACTGCGATCGAGTTCGATTCTACGATATTTGGCCCTTAGCACTCTGTTACCAACGCCTGCAACAGCTTTAAACAGCTATGGGCCCCCCGACCCCTTCGCTGTCGGTGGCAAATCCCTCGACCGAGGTGGTGCTCACCTCTCCATTCCTTTGGAAGCATCTGCAACGTCTTATCCAAGAAGAAGATCCTCACGCCAATGCTCCCAGTGCACAGGCCGGAAGCGATTATGCAGCAGCAAGTGGACCTGCTGAAGAGGTGGTGCAGCTCATCAAAGAAGTGCTCACAACAGCTTTGGTTCAGTATTATCCGTTACGAGACTCGCACACACGTGCCATCAAACGGTTCCTCGACGAAGTGATGGCTATGCTGGAGCCTGACACACACAGAGCTTCGCGCAAACATCTACGAACAAGCACGCCCCCGCCTCAGAGTTCGCCTCATTTCGACGACACTTCTGGATGATCACCCGGCTGTGTCAAAGCATATGAAACCTCACTGACTGCAGCGGTAACCAACAGAAAAGAGTGGGATAACCTTTGTGAATACGTCCACGAAGTCACCAAGCATCGCAGACAGATGCTGAAAAACGAAGAATCCAATGACGATATCATGCACTTAGCACTTCGAAATCGGATCGCAGAGTTTCTCGGCGACCTGAGCAAGTCATGCAGCAAGTTTCGATCGATCTATGCCCACCTCCACACCGCCTCGCTAGAGATCAAAGATTGCCAAGCTTCCATCACTGATACCGTTGACCATCTCATCCAATCAGATGTGCCTGCCATGAAAGGCAAAGCGGTCTCCTACATCATCTATCGCCTTCCAGTCACTAACTCCAGACACGACCAGTCTGAGCACAACCCAGAACTCGAAGATCATTTCGCTTCCCAACTCCGTTGAATCTATCATGGCGATGCTCCGCTTTGCTTCCTGAGATTTGTGCTCAAAGTCAACGAGCACTTCACGAAACGGGTCCATCCCGTTAGCTTCAATGCATACTTGAAAGGTACTTCGATTGTGCAGTCGAGCAGGACGGGCAAGACACGCATGGTCCTGGAGCTCGGCGGCCTCGCTCCCCTCCTTTACGTTTGCGTATGTCGGAAAAAGCTCTCCAAAACCGCAAGCGTCGCCAATGGCTACCCTCTGGCCGAGGAAAACCTATACGAGTTTTTTGACAACAGTACCAAAAATACTGAGGCTTCTTACAACCTGCAGGTGGCTGTCTTTCTTGGCGCATGGTTCGCAGAATTGGCATCAAGACTCGAAAAGTGCATCACTGCTGAGGACAAGTATGCTTCCCTCTCACAACTGAACGACTTCGGAGGCCCCGGTCATCGACAACGTCATCCTTTTTTCCGTGAGGTCATTGCCGGCGCTCGTTCCAAGCTTGATGATGCATTGATCCGAGCAGAGAATCACCCACTTGGTAGTCAAAACGTTTTTGCTGAGCACCTTGACCAAGCGGCATGCGATCTCAGTCAGCAACTCGAGCCCATTCAACAACATCTGTATCAACGACATTCGGCATTCTACAAAACGCACAACATCACAAAGATGCCAGTCTTCGTTGCTTTTGATGAATGCGTGGAGCTGATCGTCGAAAGGCCGGGCCCGTCTGATGAAGGGATTTCTAAAGGCAACCAACTCAACAGCCTTCGTCGTGTGTGGCACCATCTGCTTGAGCTCGAACGCGAGACGGACCATGTAAACTTCTGGCTTGTGCTTCTCAGTACCAACACGGGTGCTGCTAGGCTTATCGAGCAGAAGGAAGGTCAAGCCTCGCAGCGAGCAAGAGAAAAGAATCCACTACCCGTCTTTGTCGGTCTGGGGTTTGATGTGTTGTGCAGCGAAAAGCGCATGCTCGCCTCTCCCAAAGAGGTTTGTAAAGCTCATCAAGTATGCAGCTACGGCCGACCACTGTGGGACTCACTTCCTCGCAGGGATTGGTGGAATATAGCTGTGCTCAAGCTGCTCGGTGCCAAAAAGTTTGATGCCTCGGATGCAACGCAATGCTACAACGTCCTTGCCTCCCGTCTGGCATTGCAACTCATTCCCACCCATTCCGGAGAGCTGTACAGGCAAAGGAAGGTCATGGAGACCGCTTCCGTTGACAGGCATATGCACATCTTACAGAAGGTCGTTCAACACAGAGATCTCAACATCGACTCGCCTTCCGAGCCTGCATTGGCGGTTGCTGCTGCCATTGTCATGTCAGCAACACCAGAGGACCAACTGGAGGTGCCTCCTACAACAAGGTACGCCCAACTAATTGACACCTTCACCAAGCAATGCCTCCCTTCGCTGGATACGCAGTGTCTCAAAGGTTCGCAGGGTGAGTTCATCGCACGTTTTGTCATGATGGCTGCATGGGATGTGGCAAAGCTGCCAACCTTGTCTGTCAAAGGGGACAAACGCTACCCTGCCGAGGTCTTCTCGACACCTGTTGACCTGCAAGCCTACCTGAAGAAGCTTGCAACCCTGGATGAACCCGATGAGGTGCTGCTCGATCATAAGCTCAAGGAAGCATGCGATACTGTACGCGACAGGCTCGGCGCTCATCGAACTGCAGGCATCTCTCATGACGATCCTGTGAAAGCATGGGTGAATTTCACTCACTTTGACACGTTGCCAGAAGGTATTAGTGTCATTTCTCCTGACTACCTTTGGTACTGTTGGAAACACGGCATCGCTCTGCAAATGGCACATGGACAAGCTGGCGTAGATGGGATTATCCCCGTCTTTGTGGGTGGACTGTCGCAGCGCTTCAGAACCTCGACAAGCCCTGAACAAGCCGGTGTCGATCATACAGGTATGCAATCCGAAGCAGACCAAATCGATGGCATTGATGAAGGTGAAGCTGCCCAACAGATGACATACATTGCCTGGGAAGCGAAGTTTCGAGACAAGAGCTTAGGAAGCGACGATGCCTCCAAAGCCGGACTTGCTGGACCTCCCTTGCTGGGCGCTGCTTGCAATGCAGCTGCACAAACGCCCACAAAGGCTCTAACCTCTTGCAGCCTGCTCACCATTCTTGCCGACCTCGGCTGTGAGCGAAAGTTCAAGAAGTCCAACAGCATGCGTCCTTTCCTGAAAGAGATCTCGCCAGTACACGACAAATCAAAATTTCTGCGTTTGTGGATCTGAGGGCTGAAGGAGGAGAGCACGTACCCATGTTTGGATGATCTTAGGATTCGAGACAAGATCAGCGCCTTGTTCCAAAAGGTGACCCATTCAGCAGAGTACGAGGAAGACAACAGGATGCTCTTGCCTCTCTGGAATGCTGGAGTACATCCTGAAGAACAAGAGCATGTTAACGAAGGTCAACCAGCAGTTGTGGACTGGCCATCCCCATACGGACCAGCCACCGAGTATGATGCTGTGCAGCCCATGGAACTGGATCCTGTTCAGCCTATCACGAGGGCTTCTGTGGAAGGTCGCGATCACGGTTTCAATTGAGTGTTTCTCATCAGTTTGTTTCTGTCATGTGTCCCGGTCAATGTTGGCACATCCAATTGCAATCATGTTCCAGTGTATCGCTTCGTGAAGCATCCGCAATGGTGCTCGCTGTTTGCTGCTCGCTGCTCGCATAGAGAGCGATGGGCGCCGGCTGTGAAGCAAGATCAGTTGAAAGATCAGACTAGGGGTTTTCAAATTTTTTCGAGCCCTCGTAAACTCGAGTATTCCAATACTCAGACAAGCTCTGGAAATTGGCGCCCCCAAATGTTGAGAAAAGATGAGGAAGACTGATGTCGATGATTAAAGATTGGCGATAGTCAGAGCACAGTATCACTGCTATTTAGGGCAGAAACACATATACTCAATTGACTAATCGAACATGGTGATGCTGAAGGTAAACAATCCAATATGATGATGTAAGCTGGCATGGGACGATGCTAGAGGGATTGGGTGAAGTAGATCTGATCAGAGATCGGACAGAGCCGAACTCACCAGAGATCGGGTACAACACAGTCCCGCTCGTTGCCAGACTTTGTCATTAAGTAGGATACACCCACATCCGGCATATGCCACACAGATGTATATATATCAAGCTGAGAGCACTAGGCTCTCACAACATTCTTCAGTCAATTGAGTATATTTGTTTCTGTCTAAAACTAGCAGTGACATTGTACTTAGACTCTACCTGATTGCCAGTTATCAGGACCAAACTTCAACAGGTGAGAGCCTAGAACTATCAGCTCGATATATATACATCTGGGTGGCACATGCCAAGTGTGGGTGTATCCTACTTAATGACTAAGTCTGGCAACGAGCGGGACTGTGTTGTACCCGATCTCTGGTGAGATCAACTCTGCTCGCTCTCTGATCAGATTGATCATCTAACCGGATTGGCTCTGCCTAATATCCATTCAGATTGGCTCTGTGTCATCCTTTAGCGTCTCACTGGAGCGGTCCGGATATCAATCAACACCAAAGGCGGTTTCATAAGTCCACTGTGGTCCAGGTATCACTCAACTCAATCAACCATCGACACGCTGGACACTTGTGTCGAGACATACATATTCACACCAGGCCTTGGTGTCATCTAAAGGAAACTATTGGACATTGATCATGCCGAGCTACCTCTTGTCATGGGACCGGATGCGCAGGAAGCAAGAAGATTAGGGGTCATATGAAGAGGAGTGCAGAAATTGCGGGATCGAGGTAAGCGAGAGCTTAAGGCAGAGTTCACTGAGATTGGTAGTAGAAACAACTCTATGGCATAACTCATCAGGATCAGCAGGAATGAGGTTGATACTACTTAGTTCAGTGGGAATAGTAATACCACACTAAGTATGACAGATCTCATGAGAATTGGTTCAAGAGGTGCCTCTATTGCCAATATGGCAAGAAGAGGATGTTAAACAAGCAAGGAGGTCACCACTGGATGAAGTGGGACAGACCCCTGATGGAGATGAGACCCATAACAAAGGTCTCCATCATGGAGGAGAAGGATAGGACAGCTGGAAGGGTTTCACATGCACAGAGCAGGACCAAGCTCAGTCAAGAAGGGGACCAAGCTCAGTAGCACACATTTAGTTACCACACAGGGGGGTTCACAAGATAGGGGTCAGGAGAACCATCACCAGTTAGGAGGAAGGAGAGCTGTGTTGAGGATACTGGTGTCTAGGCCATGAGGAGGAGGAGCAGTGTCAGAGAGGTTGAGATGCAGCTCAGGAGGAGCAGGAGTGGTGTTGCAGGCGACACTGTATCAACACATAAATACTCTCACTTCTTCATAGCATACAAGTGGATCCCCATCCACTCTACACCATATATTACTAACTATAGCTTCACATAAGTATACTTAGTATTCAGTCAGCAAAAGTTGCAACCACAGTCAATTGCTTCCATTGTAGCACATGTGTTGTATCACCACTCACTGATGTCCCAAGGTGGTTCATAGTGACCAGTAGTCTGGATAGTGATCATAGAACCAAAGGCAGTTGTCCACTGCAGTCTGGGGATCACCTCAAGCATTCAGTTGACACACTGGACACTCATGTCAGCGCCACCAACAAGCACACTCATACCAGACCTTTGTCACCGGAATGAATAGATGTCTGTTCTCCAAGTCCAGAGCATTGGGGAGTGCAATGCTTATACTTCAGTGTTGTGTGAATCAGGTACACCAGCTAAGGGACTAGCTGGTGTAGTGGTTTTACTGCTCACTATGTTCGGTTTGGTTACCCAATTCCCGATCCCGTGACAACCTTGGTGTCAGTATGAAGTTCCTATAGTTATTGATCGTGCCGAGCCACCTCTGGATGGAGTGTCCACAGTGGTCAGTCGAAACCTGCAATAGCAATCAATCTATCACATATTCAAGCAAAAAAAGTCATAGAGGCCTTCTATGACAGATCTCAACCAGAATAATAATACATGGCATTTTACCACATATCTCGACAGGATCTGTAATAGATGCATTTCTACTACAGATATCAGGTTTCAGGCGCAAGACCTCTGACACAAACCAGTACTCTGTATGGACAGTCAGGGATGTGTACAGGTAAGCAAAGACCTGGCCAAACATTGGAAGCTCAAGCACATTGACACCCAATACTATTTTGTCAGGGACGACATGCAAGAAGGTGATTTAACAATCAAAAAATGTAGGCACAGCCAATAACTTTGCAGACATGCTAACGGAACCATTAAAAGGGGTGTCAGGGGTCATGCGCCTGAAACCTGGTGTCATGGGCCTGGATGCGCAAGAGAAGAAGGAAGAACCGAAGTTCATATGAAGGCAGCACAGGAATCGAGGGATCAGGCAGAATGTAGGATTTGTGGCAGAGCTCACCGAGATCAGCAGTATAATCAGCTCTATGACAGATCACAGCGAAATTGGCATGAGCATCATCAATATCATGAATCCTGCCAGAATCTGCAGCAAGCGAGATCATGTGGCAGATTCCACGGAGATCGGTAGTAAGGATGTCCATATGACAATTCACATGCAAGAAGGACCAAGCTCTGCTGGGCCAAGGACCAAGTTTTGCCAAGATGGGGACCAAGCTCAGTGACACATGGTTGGTTACCACTCAGGGGCCCACAGGACAGGAGTAAAGGAGAACCGTTGCTGGTCAAAGGAAGGAGAGCTGTGTAAAGGACACCGGTGAGAGGGACATGAAGAGGAGGAGCAGTGTGTCACAGGGACGGCTGGCCTGCGCAAGAGAGTGCGCCAAATGATCAGCAGCAGTTATGATAACGTCGCGTAACGGAGCAGTATATGAAGGGTGCGCAGAAGATCAACATATGAAGGGTGCACCAGATTGATCAGAGTCGACAACCATTGGGGATCAACGAGATTAATCAGGTTGGCAGTGCACATGATTTATGAGATCGATCGAACCCTGGGAATCCAGATCAATCTCATGGGATCAGTTGGGGTCAGCTGGACCAGTATGCTTCAACGAGTCGGCCAATCTGAACAAGTACTTGGAGCTATGCCGACGACGGAATCAGCATGCCTCAACTAATCGGCCGATCCAAACAGGTATTCAGAGCTGTGCCGATGTCAGAATCAGTCAGATCAGCATGCTTCAACTAGTCGGCTGATCTGAGCAAGTATTCGGAGCTGTGCTGATGACAGAGTCAGTCAGATCAGCATGCTTCAACTAGTTGGCCGATCCGAACAAGTATTCAGAGCTGTGCCAATGACAGAGTCAGTTGAATCAGCATGCTTCAACTAGTCGGCCGATCTGAACAAGTCGAGATGGAACTGAGCCAACATGACCACATGACCAGGGGGTATGGTCACGAGGTTCAAAAGGGGATTCACAAGATTAAGACGAAAGGGGGCCATGCCGAAAGGGGGGCATCACACATCAGACAGAAGGAGAGCATGAAGGCGAGAGGGCAGTGTTGCATAACCCTTACGCCAAGCAAAATGGTAGGAGCACAGTATCGAAGGGGATGATGCCAGCAGGGCAAGGCAGTGCCTAACAGGGGACAAAGGCCCCTCAAGAGGAGCAGGATAGGTGTCGAGGGAAAACACTGATCGAATGTATAAATACTCTCTTTCTACCATAGCATTCAAGTGGACTGGCATCCACTCTGAAACTCAACTTACTACTCTATACTTACTTGGTTACATATCAATGCAATAGCAGTGCTCTTGCAACAACTCTCAACGTGTGTGTTGTATCACCGTTAGTCGACAACTGTAGGCAGTGTTCTTCACACTAGCAGTCCAGTTCATTACTGTAGGTGGTGTTCTTCACACTAGCGGTCCAGTTCATTACTGTAGGTGGTGTTCTTCAACACCAGCGGTTCAGTTCCTTGCTGTAGGCAGTGTTGCTCGACACCAGCGGTCCAGTCAGTTATTGTAGGCAGTGTTTCACACCAGCAGTCCAGTAACTCATGTCCTCTGCAGGCGATTGGCATATCGCAGTCCAGACAATGTCCAGAGCATTATCAACAGTACTATGAACACTTGTACTGTAGGGGAGGGTGTATCACTCACTCACCAACAAACAACATCTGTGCTGCACAACCTCTGAATGGAGTGTTCAAGGCAGTCAGTCGAGACTTACTAGGTGACAACGCTTGGTTACATTTAGGCGAATCATATCGAGTAGTCCTTACTCAATCAACCTCAGCTAAGTCTCTGGCGCATGACCGCTTACATTAGAGTGGATCATTCAAGTTGTGCCCCATGACAACATGATGGAGCCTGACACCAAGGATAGGTTCGAGGAGCTGCAGAGGTTAATGGAAAGGTCCAAGGAAAGAATGGAGAAGCTCCTATCAATGAATTGGACAGTTACCAATCATTTCATGCAAAGGTTGGAGTCATTGGAAGCCCTCGTCAGGAGCAACAGTCAGTCTGAGGAGACTACCAATGAGGAGTCATTCAAACCCAACCCAGCACCCAGACCACACAGGACGGGATCTTTCCTAGGTCAAAACATGCAATCATATTCAAACTACAAGAAGTACGTGACCCCTACCAGGCT